ACACTATGATCAGGTAGGCTTCATCCCAGAGACACAGGGATGGTTTAACATACATAAGTCAATAAATGTAATCCAGCATATCAACAGAGCCAAGGTCAAGAATCACATGATTATCGCCACAGATGCAGAAAAGGCCTTTGATAAAATTCAACATTCATTCATGCTAAAAGCTCTGGAGAAAATAGGAATAGAAGGAACATTTCTAAAAACAATAAAAGCCATTTATGACAGACCAATAGCCAATATTATACTTAATGGGGAAAAGCTACAACCAATCCTCCTAAAAACAGGAACAAGGCAAGGATGCCACTGTCTCCACTCCTCTTCAACATAGTCCTAGAACCCTTAGCCAGGGCAATAAGGCAAGAAAAAGACATTAAAGGGATCCGCATAGGGAAAGAAGAAGTTAAACTATCCCTTTTTGCAGACGACATGATACTATACCTCCACGATCCCAAAAACTCCATCCCCAAACTTTTAGAAATCATAAGTCACTTCGGCAAAATAGCAGGATACAAAATAAACCCACAAAAATCAGTTGCCTTCCTATACACTGATAACGCACAGGAAGAGAAGGAAATAAAGGGAGCAACCCCATTCACAATAACCTCCCAAAAAATAAAATATTTAGGAATTAACCTAACCAAAGATGTAAAAGAACTATTTAATGAAAACTATAAAAAGTTAAAGAAAGAAATTGCAGAAGACACTAGGAAATGGAAAGACCTCCCATGCTCCTGGATAGGCCGACTTAATATAGTAAAGATGGTGATACTTCTAAAACTAATACACAAATTCAATGCAATTCCTATTAAAATCCCAATGACGTACATCACTGAAATACAGAGAACAGTCCAAAAATTTATATGGAACAACAAAAGACCTAGAATAGCCAAAACAATTCTAGGGGATAAAGACAATATGGGAGGGCTATCCATGCCGAACTTCAAACTCTACTACAGAGCTATAATCACAAAGACAGCATGGTACTGGCACAAAAACAGACCCGAAGACCAATGGAACAGAATAGAAGATCCAGATATAAATCCACAGGCCTACAGCCAGCTGATATTCGACAAAGGAGCCAAAGACATACAATGGAAGAAACACAGCCTCTTCAACCGCTGGTGCTGGGAAAACTGGGCAGCCGCATGCAGAAAACTAAAAGTGGACCCCAGCCTATCACCATGCACCAACATCAACTCAAAATGGATTAAAGACCTTAACATTAAACCTGAATCTCTGAAAGTACTGCAGGACAGAGTAGGAGAGACACTTGAACTAATAGGCACAGGAAGGAACTTCCTGAACAGAGTCCCAGGGTCACAACAAGTTGGAGAGAGACTCGACAAATGGGACTACCTTAAAATTAAAAGCTTCTGCACAGCTAAATCTATCGCAACTAAGCTAGAAAGACAACCAACTAATTGGGAAAAAATATTTACCAGCAATATATCAGACAAGGGGTTAACATCCTGTATATACAGGGAACTCAAGAAACTAATCCCTCCCAAACCTAACAAACCAATTACTAAATGGGCAAGGGAACTAAAGAGGGACTTCTCAAATGAAGAAATAAAAATGGCAAAGAAACACATGAGGAACTGTTCATCATCCCTGGTGGTGAAGGAAATGCAAATAAAGACAACCCTGAGATACCACCTTACCCCACTCAGAATGTCCCACATCCACAAATCAGCCAACGACAAATGCTGGAGGGGATGTGGAGAAAGAGGAACCCTATTACACTGCTGGTGGGAATGTACACTTATACAACCACTTTGGAAAGCAGTCTGGAGGGTCCTTAGAAAGCTAAAGATTGACCTCCCTTACGACCCAGTCATACCACTTCTAGGCATCTACCCTGAACAACAGGAACCAATATACAAGGACACGTGCACCTCCATGTTTATTGCAGCACTGTTCGCAATAGCTAGGATATGGAAACAACCTAGATGCCCCACCACAGATGAATGGATCCAAAAATTGTGGTATCTATACACAATGGAATATTATGCAGCCATTAGAAATGACAAAATAATGGCATTTGCAGGGAAATGGATGGAGCTAGAAGGAATCATGTTGAGCGAGGTAAGCCAAGAACGAAGAGACAAACGGTACATGGTCTCCCTGATAAGTGGATGCTAAATCCAAAAGGTTAGGTGATACGACAAAACTAACAGGACTTAAGAAACAAAGAACTCCCGCTCATCTGGTTGAACCACTACTAAATATCCCCATGCTGCTGATCACAAATATGGTATATAACATGTGAACACTGTTATATATTACAGACTGTGGTAGACAATTTGCTCCAGGGAAGTTAGAATGAACTTGTGACTTTGAAATTATGTAATCATTTAATCACAATCAAAAAAAAAAAGAACCTCGGGGAAGGGAGGGAGGGAGGGGATGGTAGGGGGAAAACAATGGAGGGGGTAACAATGTTCAAGAGGAAGTGTACTCATTACCTCACTCATGTAACTGTAACCCTCTGTATAGTAGCTTTACAATAAAAAAAAAAAACTCAAAAAAAAAAAAAAGAGCTTGAGCATAGTACCAAAAATCAAAACAAAGAACAGAAAAGATACAAATTACAGGACAAAATAAATGGGATACTGACAAAACAGTGTTTGGAAAAAATTAATGAAAGAGAATGCTACTACACTGTTGGTGGGAGTGTAAACTTATTCAACCACTCTGGAAAGCAGTATGGAGATTCTTCAAAAGACTAAACACAGAACTTCCCTATGACCCAGCAAATCCACTTCTAAGCATTTACTCAATGACCACAAACAAGGCCACACTAAAGCTACCATCACAACTATGTTTATTGTAGCATTATTTACCACAGCTAAGATATTGAACCAAGCCAGATGCTCCTCAGTAGATGAATGGATCAAGAAAATTTGGTAGACAGATAGATAGAGATAGATAGATAGATAGATAGATAGATAGATAGATAGATAGATAGATAGATAGATAGATAGATAGATAGATAGATAGATAGATAGATAGATAGATAGATAGATAGATAGATATAATGGAATTCTATGCTTCTGTCAGAAAGAAAAACACCACCCCATTTTTAAGGAAATGGAAAGACTTGGGAAAAAATCATATTAAGTGAAGTAAACCAGACCCAAATAAACATAGGTCCCATGGTTCCTTTTATTTGGAATAATTAGTATATGCCTAGTATAATCTTAGCCGATGAGCAGAATAGCTCAATAGCTATGTAAATATGACATATAAGATGATGCTAGGGCTGGGAAGGTGGCTCAGTGGTAGAGCGCTTGCCTTGCATGCATGAGGCCCTGGGTTCGATTCCTCAGCACCACATAAGCAGGAAAAAAAAGCCAGAAGTGGCGCTGTGGCTCAAGTGGTAGAGCACTAGCCTTGAGCTGAAGAGCTGAGGGACAGCGCCCAGACCCAGAGTTCAGGCCCCATGACCAGAACCCCCCTCCCCCCCAAAAAAAGATGATGCTAAGTGACATGAACTCCACGACATGGTCATAAGAGGTTTTTCTTTCTCATTGTTCTCAAAGTACTATGTAATTTCTTTTTTGTTTTGTGTTTTTCCTCCTATTGTTTATCCCCTGTTGTCACTGTAATACATTTTGGTACCCTGGGTATTGAATATACATTCAATATGTATATTGAATGGGGGAAGGGGAACAACAAAATGGTGAGACAAAGGACAGGGGGAACCTACGTAACAGTGGTACTCACAAGACGATATGTTGGAAATGATCTATACAACTTGGGGGGGAGGGGAGTATTGGGAAGGGGTAGGGAAAGAGGGAGAAAAATTAGAGAGGGGGGTAACAAGTTAGACAAGACAGGGGAATCACTACCTTACTTAAGTAACTAATACCTCTGTACATCACCTTGACAATAAAATTAAAATTAAAAAAGGAAAAAAGAAATTAAATACCACAATATAAATGAAAGAGTATCAATAAATAAACTATCAATTCAAAAGGATAAGGGACAACGGAATAAAAGAATGATTATAGATATAATATTAAGAATATTAAAACGTTTTCTGAAAGAGGTGACATTGTTCAAGATGCATCATATTCATAAACTGCTTTGTTGAATTGCAATTTCTTCATATAACTACTTAAAGATAAATAAAATCCATTTCAAAAAATGTTGTAAATTTGATCATGCTAATGCATTACAAGTTAAATAAAATTTTAATTAAAATTAAAAGTTTAATTGTAATATAATTTATATAAAACATATTTGTACATTTATATTACCTAAGACCCAAATACTTTTATTTCAGATACTATAAATTGAAATGGAAAGGAATTAAGGATTACACAAAACCAGATCAGAAATTCCAGTCTCTTCACTGATTCCACTTATGTCTCTGACATTTAGAAAAGGTATTAATTAAGAGTTAGACCCTCCTGTCATGCAGAGCAAAGGATTCCAGGCAGAAATAGTTGACAATGGATATGGCAAGGAAAATGGCCACATTTCCTCTCAGGAAATCCAAATAATGTTTATGGCAAATGTTGAAAAGTTGATCAAAGAAGAACAACAAATCTAGGCAGTATTAGTATTTAATGGATGAATGTGCTATGAAAGAGAACATTATTCGTGCATGTATGTGTGCCAGTCCTGGGGTTTGAAGTTACGGCCTGAGCACTGTTCTTGAGCTCCTTTTGCTCAAAGCTAGCATTCTACTACCTGAGCCATGCTCCACTTCTGGGTTGTTGTTCTTTTTATTTTATTGGGGGGGGGGGGGTGTTGTTGTTGTTTTGTAATTTATTGGAGATAAGGACTTTCCTGGATTGACTAGCTTCAAACAGCAATCCTCAAACTCAGCCTCCTGAGCAACTAGGAACATTATTTTTTTTAAGGGGAGCTAATGATTTACTACCTTAGAGATAGAATGGATTGTGTTTCAATATGACGCATACCAAAGAGTATACGTATGGAGCATTTAAGGGCAAAGAGGAAATATTCAAGAAGATTCACATTACCTGGGAAAACTGCCTGTGGTGAAGGTAGATATTCCCTGCATTGTAGTAAGCCAGAGAGTACGTGGGGTCCAGAGACACTGCCGCCTGGTAGTCTTTCATAGCATTATGTTTATGACCCATTAATTCATGAACCACCCCACGATTTGTTAAGAACTCAGCTGTAGTTTTGATCTGGAATACAAGAGCATGAGCATCTAGGAATAGTATTCATTTCTGACTTCAGGTATGTCATGAAATCTATTTGTGGGAAACCAGTAATAGAGCACAGGTAAAACCCCATTAGAGAAAGTATTTTGAGAAAGGGCTTGGTGTGAAATTTTGTTGACATGATTGCAATCTAACTATTTTTACTCAGAACCTTTCCAAGGGACAGCCACATGGGGAAAGTTTATCTGCTTATCTAGGTTAAGTGGAGGAGAAACTAAATTGTTAATGAGCAGGCCTATCTGTCCTGTGCTATAGCAATTTTCTTTCTGTTATTTCCCTTTGCTTATCTCACACATTATGGTATCTACTCAAATCTGCAGAAATGAAACTTTAAAAATAGGGAAAAAGAAGTTTCTGCTATTGTATTTAAAACGAAAGATTTATAGTTGCCATTTCATTCCAGGAAGAATCAGGCTTTACATTGTCCTTTCTCTGGTTCTGTCAAACCTTGTTTTTCTATTTTTCTGTCATTATATGACAGAACTGTATTTGTGTGAGGGTGTGTGTGTGTGAGGGTGTGTGCGCGCGCACACGCACGCACGCGCATGTGTGTGCCAGTACTCAAGTTTGAACTCAGGGATAGTATTGTTGCTTGAACTGAGGGCCTGACCCTCTTGCTTGGATTTTTCAGTCAAGGTGGTGCTCTACCACGCGACTCACACCTCCACTTCCAGCTATTTGCTACTTAACAGGAGATAAGGATCTCACTGACTTTCTTGCCCAGGCTGACTTCAAAACACAATCCACAGATCTCAGATCTCCTGATTAGCCAGGATTACAGGCCACAAAATCTCAGCAACAAAACAATATGGGTGTTTCATTAAATTTATAAGCTGCATTTACTGAAAGGAATTGATGTTTATGAGGTACTGAGGTTTGAACTCAAGAATACCACAACTGCTAGACAGGAGCTCTACCACTAAGCTATACTTCTTTTTTGTTAATACATCTAGGTTATAAAATGGACAAGCCACTCCTTATTGTAGGACTCAGAGGAAAAACATAGGAAATTGTAGGATGTTTTCTATATATGAGTCAATTTCAAAGGTAACAGATAACTTCTTACTTGGACCTGTCCATGAGTGGTATTAACTTATTCTAATAATAACGTCATCTAAGTGGACTTTTACCTTCAGGGCAGCGTTAATATCCTGCATCGCAGCAAAATTGTTACCCATTTGAAGACAGACCACACCTCTTCCCTCGTAGGCTAGGTAACACCTTGGATCAACTTCTATGGCAATGGTAAAGTGGTTCCAGGCTTTCTGGAATTTTTCTTGGGCCTAAAATAAATTTCCAATTTCATGAAATAAGAAATATTTTATAACATGACAAACGGTTATGATTCTCACTCACTTAAAACCATTGGTAAGTGCATATTCACTTTGTGTAAAATCTGAGGTAAGAAAATAATTTGGACTGTGAGCATAGTCAGTTGATTAATTACCTCTGAGTATTTGTGATGAACTTTTAATAAATTAAAATAAATTTAATTGTAAAGTCATCTCCTATACAAATCTCAGACACAGTAAAATCACAGCACCATTTCCAACTCCGGAGCTTCACACAATGGCTAACGTATTTACATGGAGCTCCACACACACAGGCAAGAACTGTTTTTACTTACTTGGCACATAATCTCTTTTCATATAAAATATGCATAGTACACAAAGTAAAATTAATATATGCTGCATGAATAAGTGAATAAATTCATAGTCTAAAACTTATTTTTATAAATTGTATGAGCATCTGGAATTTTAGGACCACTATATATATTCTATGGACAATGCATATATCCACCAATGCATATATCTACCAAGCATATATCTATACCAAATTTAGTGCCAGTTACAGAGAGAGAGAGAGAAAAGGTTAAGAGCAGTATAACACCTTTAGAAGGATTTCTGAATGCCTCCTGGAGAATTTCAACTAGCAACTAAGCACCTCACCACAGGAAATCAGTGAGAAATTAATTCAGCATGGTCCTACCTCCATGCTTTCTTCTCATTGATTCAAAACCCAAACTTCCAGAATCTGAGAAGCTGACTCACTTTAACCAAGCTGAGCCCAGTGCCTCTCACCTAAAACTTAAAAAACTTAAAAACATTAAAAAAAAAAAACTTAAGGAGATCAGATCTTGTTTTCTGACTGGCAAATCTTGGTTCTCTCTCTGAGTAAGTTACTAGGAAATCCACCTTGTCATTACAAGTTTGTGTAATAAACCATGAAGCAGGCAAACTAAGGTTTGATTAGTGGAACACTAAACTGGAACCAGCTTAGAATAGGTTTCCATTTGTCATTTGTTCCTGACACCTCTGTGGTCCTCCCTGGTGTATCCTGAATGGAATCTATATGTAGTTATTGAACAAATTGTCACTCTCCCTCCCTTGGGCAGAAATTAAGATACTTCCCTTCCTTTCCTGTTATACTGGCATGCTTTTCAATCCATTTCTAGATTACATATTTAGTAAGCCCTTCATAAGATGCAAACTTGATGCTTATTTTTTTCTATTTCATTGTCTTTATACACAGACATATGCACATATATAATACATATATATATATATATATATATATTTCTCCCTCATTTCTTCCAACACTATCCATCCCTCCAAGTTCCTTGATTCCATTTTCACATATGTATATTGAATATTACTACTGTATATGCCCACCCTTCCTCTTCTCTGATAAATGCTGTTTCTATTTTTAATTTGACTGCAAATCTTCAATGCCAGCCTTTGTTTAATTCTCTAGCCTGTCTCAACCACTCTCCCCTTGTCCATAACCTTCTACTTCCTTGGGCCCTCTGCTCTTCCAGAAGTCAGATTCAGTGTCACATTGGATTGTATTCAATTTGATTTTCTTTCTAGGAGAGGGGCAGTAATGAAGTTGGAACACATGACTTCATTTTTGATGAGCAAGCACTCTACTACTTGAGCCACACTCCCAGTCCCTGACTCTCTGCTCTCCCTCCTCCCTCCCTCCCTTCCTCCCATTCCTTCCCTCTCTTCCTCCCATTCTCTCCCTCTCTCTCTCCCCCTCCCTCTATCTCCCTCCTTCCCACTACCTCCTTTTCTCACTCTCTCTCCCTCCCTCCCTTTCCCTTCCCCCCTTCTCTATCTCTTCCTTAAGATTTTTTGGTGGCTATTCTTTCTGTCTGGAACACCAACCACATCCTAGTCCTGTGACTAATTACTAGTCTTTCACACTTCAACATAAATGGTAATTTTTTGGTGTATTTTATATTTTATTTATATTCTTTTTTATTGTCAAGGTGATGTACAGAGGGGTTTCAGTTACATAAGTAATGTATATGTCTTGTAAACCTTGTTACTCCTTTCCTCAATTTTCAATTTTCTCCTACTTTCCTGTCCCTCCAACATCATTTGTCTCACCGTTCTGTTGTTCCCCTTCCCTTCCCTAATTCAAATAAACATATATACAATACCAGAGTACCACAATCACTGAAGCAAGCCAGACCCAAAACATAGGTCCCATGTTTCCCCTTCTTTACAATTAGTATATGTCTAGGATAATCTTAGCAGAGGAGCAGAATAGCTCAATAGCTATGTACATATAAACATATAAGATGATGCTAAACAAAATAAACTCCAAGACATGGACACAAGAGGTTTTTCTTTGTTGTTGTTTTCAATTGTACTATGTGATTTTTTGTTTCTTTTCTATGTTCTTCCTTCTATTGTATATCCTCTGTTGTACTAAAGCTACCAGCACAACTGGTAGCATTATTCACCATAGCTAAGATAGGGGACCAACCCAGATGCATATATATATATATATATATATATATATATACACATACATATATATATATACACATATATGTGTATATATATACATATATATATGAATTCTATGCTTCCATCAGAAAGAATGACATCACCCAATTTGTAAGACTTGGAAATGGTAATTTTTCACAAAGCTCTCTAATACTTACAACAAAGCTATGTCCTTTTACATGAAAAAGTTCTTTTTCTTTGTTGTTGTTAACACAACTATAATCAAATAATTATTCATATGATTGCTTCTTTCTCTGCACTAGGAATTAAACTCCTAAGGGAAATACAAATATGCTGTTCACTGTGGTCACCTTCCCCCGCCCCCCGCCGGCTGTGAGCAGTTCCTGCCCTGTGTTAAGTGCTCAAAATGCCTGGTGAATGTAGAGACATTCATGCCAGCAGCTGCCACTTGGTGCTAGCTGCTTTGGAGTCAATCTTGTCTCCTTAATAGACTTTGCAAATTTTAGCTGTCATCCAATAATATCTAATTTTGTATTTAACTCTCAGAAGGTAATCTTATTTCCCTGATTAATGAATTCTTGGCATAACTTCCTATAATTACCAATCCATCCTTTCTAGTATCAGAAGTCTTAGATCAGTCAGAGTTGTTATTTCAGTGGAAGAAAAGCAACGTTAATGGCAGATTATTAACAGAACTTTTTGTGGTTTGTAAGAATTGAAACCCACCTTTAAAATTCTGCAAATTAGAACAGATTAGAAGCCTTAAAATTATTCTGTTCTATCTCATGGAAAATATAGCACACTTAGTAGTATATTCCAAGAATCTTTTATTAATAAAAGAGATATAAAATCTCAATCCCAGAAGCCACTGGGAAACTTGCTTGGCACCAATAGGCAAAGCTCTTTTCCAGCTGAGAGGACAAATTCCTGTCAAGATTCTTGTTCTTGACTCCAGGCTCTATGTGACTGCCACAGGGAAGATGGCTGAATTCAGACATCCCTAGAAACGTGTCTGACTAACCTATTGTATAGCAAGAGTTCACTTGAAAATTCTCAGACATTGTTATTTGCTTGACATTTTTACTAACTCAAGATGACAAACCCATAGAACCAAGATATAATCCAGTTACATAAGTATTATGCCAGGTTTTTACATGTGAAATTCAGATCAATTTTAAAGTTCTTTTTCAGGGTAATGAGGTGGCCAGACATTAAGGAAATTCAGGAGTGATCCAAGACTCTAAACTAGTCCAGTTGGGCTCCTTATATATGATCAAACCCCTCTTTCCCACTGCTACTCTGAATAATAAAAGTAAGGGAAAGCTAAACATTCCTACTCAAAGAAATAACATTAGCTCTATCGCCAGTAAGAGATAAATATATTCTTTCTCCTGTCCAAACAATGCTTCCAGTGTTCAAAATGCTGTTTTGTAATATTACCTGCAAATTATAGGCCAGACTGATTCTGGCCTTTGTGTAGGCTGGATTAAGATGCAACGCTTTCATAAAATCCTTCTGAGCATATTTGGTGGCTTCCTCAGATCCATATTCCATGTAAGAATTTCCTCTCCCAACATAAGCATCCAGAAAACGGGAGTTAATTTTAAGAGCCCAGTTAAACAAATAGACAGCTTGTTCATACTCTTTTATTCTGGGGGAAAGATGAAGAAAATATTGATACCTTCTAGTGAATTGATGCTTTCTGATAACATACTGTGTTTTCCTGTATGTGAATTTCCTGTGCAGTCTGCACTGAAAGCAGACTTGGCTGCTATAGGAGAGCTAGAGAGCTGGTTATCTCAACAATGCTATCAGAAGACAAGCTTGCAGATCAGACCTGAGCCTGAATGTGCAAGTTACAGCTACTTTTTCCCAGCATATCTGAGACCCAAATAAGAGCATATGCAAAATACTTAGTTCAGAGACCTTCTCCCATCCTCTTCATTACTTCTCAAACAGGTTTCAAGATTTAAGACTATCCATCACTACTTTACTAATTCTTTTAAGTACATGGAACCCATGTACTAGAAGCTGTCATCTCCTAGCTATTACTCACAAGTATCTCTTACAACAGTGTTCCCGAAACTTGTGCCCTTCCTGCATGAAGCCACCTAACTCTGTTCCAGTACACTTACCTGCTGAATATTCCCTTCAAACTCAAGTTTTCACTTAGTATAATTTACTTTAAAAAACAAATTTCAATATGGTAAGTAGAAAAATAAGCCTATGCCATAAAAGAGAAGATGATGCTAAAAGTTTGTACAACTGGGGCTGGATACTATAATCACAGAACACTAAGCTTGGAGTTGGTACTATAACAGAGCTTGAAAGTCATTCAGAAATGAGCTCATAGCTGAGACTTTCCCAATGCTTGAGAAACAGTTCATTTAGAAATTGAAAGGAGACTCTGTTTTTAATTATGTGATGCAGAAAGGCAAGAGAAAATGATAACAAAACTAGTTTTGTAGATCTAAATTGGTTTTATTTATCATTCTAGAATCATTGGCTTCATTTCTCATTTGAGGATCCAGCATCAGCATACACTTAAAATGGTTCTGAATACTACATACCACATGAAAAGATTATATTGGTAACCAGAAAAAGATGGATACATGTATATATATATATATATATATATATATATATTGTATTTTATTGTATTTATAACTAGAAAACATGCCTAGCTCCAATGGCTCATGCTTGTAATTGTAGCTACTTGAGAAATAAAGATAAAAGAATCAAGACCCAAAAGTGATTTTCTAGAACAAAACTCAAAAACAGAACTGAGAGCCAGTGACTCATGCCTATAATCTTTGCTACTCAGAAAGCAGAGATTTAGGAATCATGGTTTGAAGCCAGAACAGAGAAGAAAAGTCCCTGAAACTCCTAAGGTGTGGCACAAGTGGTAGAATGATAACCTTGAGTAAAAAAGCCAAACCATACTTTGAGGCTCTAAATTCAAACTGGAGTAATGACATGAGGGGGGGGGGGTGGGAGGGAGAGGGAGAGAGAGGGGAAGGGAGGAAGGAAGGAAGGAAGGAAGCAAGGAAGCAAGGAAGCAAGGAAGGGAGGGAGGGAGGGAGGGAGGGAAGGAGGGAGGGAGGGAGAAAATCAACACTAGAAAATGAGGCACTAGAAATCTCAGCTTCTTGTGTCTCACAGGCAAAACAGCATTCCTGTTTATGAGCCAGCTCTATCTTCCTCAGTTCACTCTATGGGGCTGTTACTCAGAGATCACAGGGTCATTTCCCTCAAGTAGTTTACAATGAAATTGCACTTCTCTTGATAATTGGCACTTTTTAAGAAGCAAAAGTTCACTGAGTAATAGGGTCATGATGTTTTTCCATGTACCTCACGGTATTATATCAGCAAGTCTCTTCACAGTATAAGGTTCTTTATCAAAAATAAATACATCATCATCATTTGTGATAACATGCATTTGTACACACTCCACAAAGGATGTTCTTACAATGGAGACTTATATGTGATGAAATTTCCAGCACATATTGTTTTCATATTTTCCCAGTAAATGCTCCTATTGTATTGACATTCAAATTGTATCATTTACACTGCCCCTATTTCCCAAGGAGAAACTAAAATCCTTGTGAGTGCATGTTTTAATAGATGGTTTACAGAATGCAATCTTTCCTTTCATATAGCTTAGTTAGTTTCAAAAATTCATAGTGAATGAAGCACACTACATGAGTATAAGTTATAGATAGGTAGTGATCAAAATTATTTTTTCTATCTCTATCTAGTCAACTTTAATGAGCATCCAGGTTACTTAGACTTAGCAAATCTTAAAGCTGGAAATGGATCTTGAAAGCCACCTGAAAATATGTGAAAATTAATGAGTAGAAATCAAGTTCAGAACTGGCAATAGAGACTCCCCTAGTTTTCTAAATCAAGAGAAAAGGGGAAGACAATTTCATTTTCTGGAGATGTGTTGATCATAGTGTCCTATAGGTGAAAGTTTCTGTTATGTCACCATATGTCAATCCATCTAATGGGAAATGAAGCAGAATATTCACATTGCATCAAGGTACATATTGACTGAGATAGAAGGGCTCAGCATCACTAATCACAAATAGAACACTACATTGAAAATGTTTTCTAAAATAAAACGTGCTTATAAAAAAAAAACCTAGAGCACTGTCTTCACTTGCAGAAGATTCTCACTATACTATCTGCTAACAATGAATAATGCTGAGCTTGTCAGCTCGGCTATGAACACAAAACCTTCCGCACTTACCCCCATTAATCACATATGTGACCAGATGTGCCCTGCTGAGTTGCACAAATAAATCCCAAATACTTCCCCCCAACTAAAGAACGTGGCTTGAGAGTTACAGATTCAAACTATTTTATGAAAAAATATGAAGAATAGCCAGAGAAATATATTAAAGGGGAAAATGTTTGGGATATATAATCTCCTGTATTTTTTTTGTTTTATTCATGAGGGTGGTTTTCATAAGTACAGCCCAAAAAATAATTCAACTCTAATACTGCTGATGATGAAATTGGGCAGCAAGTAGGATATTCAGCCTAAGGAATGCTGTCTCCTAGCAACCAGAGGAGCAAGAACCGGACAGATACAAAGGATCCTTCAAAAGTTTGCAACCCCTCAAATTCAAAGATCAAAGCCCTAAAATTTAGAAATGTATTCCTTTTGTAAATTTTTCCAAAGGATAAAAAATGTACTTTCTTCAATATAAAACACCGTAAGCCCCCATCTCCTCACTAACCATGTTACTGCAGAGCTGGTTGTAACTCAACTCAAAACACAAAAACAGTTTTCTTGGAGAAAACAAAACAAAAACAAAAACTTGATCTCGACGAAACACTCCCTACTGTTAAGTTTCTTTAAACAGTTAAAACTCAGTAGACCTGGAATTGGAACTCAGAGTTATTAGGGCTTTACTGTTGATTTTAATTCTACTTTTATTCAAGAAAAACAGAGAGGTTAGTGGGGTGATGAAAGTAGGTTGTTCAGAATTGCAAAGTCCTATCCGTTCAAGGAAGCTCTGCTACATATACTCAGCAATTAGGTTTCATAAAAGAGATTGTGAACTGACACAAAGAGAAACTTACAACTCTAATAGTTACTAAACAGAGGAAAGAGGTTGAGAGAAGAAATCATATGGTCTGTTTTTAGTTTTAAAGAATACAATGACTTTAGGCATTTTTGGACTGCACACACATTCACTAAAATAAACACATCAGTCATGATTATCCCATTGCTTTTTAAGAATGACAATTACATAAAGATGTGGATATATAAAAGTTGCTGGAGGAAACTACAGAATGATTTGACTATGGTTTTGCTATCTTTATAAAATGAAAGGCCCAAGACTAGTTTAGGCCTTTTTACCCACAGATATGTTCAGAACTTCCAGTTACTCTATTATTTTATTGATAAATAAAAACTCTTAGTTCTTATAAGGAAATGTAGTTATACTGTGTATGTCCTAAAAGAGAAAATAGAGAATGTTAATTTCTTAAATAATTCAAGCTATGTCCTATTCTCTAAGTTGAATATTTACACAGCCTACCCTACATAATTTATGAATTATCCTAATTTCCTCCTTCAAATTAACTGCTACTGTTTCTCTCATGAAAAGTAATGCTATAAACTGTTGCTTAAACAAGTACATTTTATCCCATATTAAAATCTGAATGTGCTGACTCTCTACCCTTGTAAAGCCAAAATGACAAAAAATTAATTTTCTGATGTCAAATGTACACAGAACTGTGAACAGATCAGTAGCAAAGAATATGAGTGTATTTAAAATTAATCAACCTCTATATTTTGGCCTTATGTAACTATTGGGAAGCAATTGGGAATTACCAGATAGAGTAACTACATGTGGCTTCCACATCAAAGCACAAAATTCTCTTTTTTTGTGTGAAAATACTGTACAGAAGGCTTACAATTACATGGGCAAGATAATGAGTACATTTCTTATCAAGCATTGTAGCCTCCTCCTTTGTTTCCCCTTCCCATCAAAGCACCAAATTCTTTTGTCTCACCCCACCACCACCCCACCACACTTTATTTTTGTGCCAGTACTAGTGCTTGAACTCAGGGTCTAGGCACTGTCCTTGAGCTTTTTTGTTCAAGGTTGCTTCTCTACCACTTGAACTACAGCTTCACTTCTAGCTTTTTTGGTGGTTTATTGGAGATAAGAGTCTCAGGGACTTTCCTGCCTGAGCTGGCTTTGAACCACAATCCTTAGATCTCAGCCTCCTAAGTAGCTAGGGTTACAGGTGTAAACCACTGATACCCTGCCTCTAAATTTTATGCACATTTTCCTCACTTTCTTTCACGCCTTTGGCTTCTCTATGGGCTGTGATTTACATAGGTTTGGGGGCCTGCTTGCTCCTCTTTAATAACAATGGCACTCCATACCTGTGATGGCACATGGCAGCAGCTTGGCAAAGATTCACGTTATTCTGCTTCATCTGTGCAGCTTGTTTAAAATCCTGAAACAATGTTAATAGTTTAGATTAATGTTTTAGAATTATGTATATGCCTTCTTAAACTCCTCTCTTTCCACATGAAAATATCTAACACAAGCATTACAAGTATATTACATTAAATGTACATCATATATGTATGCATTAAACATATCCCCTATAGGGTCACATTTACTGAAAACTTATGGAAGTTTTCTGTTTAGGCTTGGCGTATATCCACAATCCTCCCATGCTCAGCCTACCATGTAACTTGGGATGAAAGACACTTATAACTATTCCCATCTATGGGTTGAGAAGAAGTCAAACTTTTCTTCCCAGGTTAGTCTTAACCCACAAACCTCTGCCATAGGTAACCCATAATGGTGTTTCTTCATTATATCAAAGAGCCTAAAGGAATTCAGATGTTGAGATTGCACCCCATCATAATCTAAACGGCTCAAATGATATATATAGAGTAAGAGAATACCAGCCAACTTTGCAGATGGAGAGAATAGGAAATGCTCTGTTGTATAGGTTATGCTGCTATCCTCAGAAACGAAGATGCAAAACTCACTGCTTAACTAGAAACTGCTTTTTAGTGTTGTCTTGTGTTTCTTAATTTTCCTTCTAAATTACTGTGAAAAAAGTTAAAGTTGTACCTGAGAATTCTATAATGAAATAAATTTCAAAGGCACCTCTTTCTTTTCAGTGTGCATCCCTGTTCTGACCCATTTAAAAGCCTATTCTCTTGAGCTGGAGACATGGCTCAGGGCATCTGCCTGGCAAGCCCAAGGCCCTGAGTTCAACACTCAGGGGGCAGGAGGGTGTGCAGGGGGGTAGGGTGGGGTGAAGGAAGCATATTCCAAGTAACTTATCCTAGGCAATATTCCCCTACCATGTTTGAAGCACATTCAATATGACAATAATTTCAATGGGGAAAAAGAAATTTTAGAATGCAAAAGAGCATTGCCAAGCAGAGTTCATAATATACAAATCATTTTATTTGCCAAACGATTGGCTTTTATGTGTAGTTCCGTGGGTAGACAATTGTCTTTTTCATACATTGCTATTCATCTGTTTATCTTTTGCAAAGATTCTAGTAGTCACTGTAAGTATCTCAATACAATTGTTGCTAAAGTTATCACTCATGAACATTGCCATTGCAATAAAAACCTGGTCACTAGTTTCAAGAAGAGAATGTATACAATCACACGAGTTTTCATACATCCACATTGAGCTCACCTCTAATGCAAAACTGTATTTCTCTAGTTCTGTGTAAATGAGCCCACGATTAATGAAAGTATTGAATACCAGTGTTTCTCCAGCGTCGAGAAGAAGCACAATTCCATAATCTATTAATGCCTAAAATTAAAATAATTACAACATAGATATGACTCGATTTTTAATAGCTCAAGATATTCCAGCTTGACTTAACTTATATTTTTTTCTAAGATAATTTTTTTTCTTAGACATCTGTTTCAGATTCCCATTATGTTTGTGGTCTTCACCTGACTTTGAGATAAGAAAGATACTGTCATTCTCTGTTAAGTATTCTCCCAAAATTTTTCTGTTCTCCTTTCCTAGTAACATCACCTTTGCCTGATTCTTTTTTTTAAGATTTTATAAATCTGTTTTTATTTGGTAAGTCTTTCTAATTCTTTTTTTAAATAAGTTTTTTATTTTGAAAATAGTGTACAGAGGGCTACAATCACATGAGCAAGGTAATGAGTACATTTCTTATCAAGCATTGTTGCCTCCTCCTTTGTATTTCTCCTACCATCCCTTCCCTCCCACCCCCACAACTTTACAATTTATACGGGGCGGGGGGGGGGGGGGAAGAGGGGGAAGTAGTTGTCTGATTCTTGTGATTTTCTACATGGTTTCATCTGCATATCTATATTTTCCTCACATAAAATCTTTTTTATACTATATCATCATTATATAGTAGCTTTTGAGCCCAGAATCTGATTTTCAATAATATGATTGAAATAAGAGTCTGAGAGTCATCAAAGTCCTTATCCTGCTTTAGTTCTCAGCAGTAAAAGCTATCAATAAGTATACCATCCGTCTGCACTTCCCTCCCACTGTATTTGTCAGTGCAGCAGCCCCTCAAGCTAACTTCCCTCCTTCCTTCCTTCCTGTTACTTTTCTGTATTCTCCTGTGTGTGTGTGTGTGTGTGTGTGTGTGTGTGTGCATGCGCGCGTGCGTGCACATGCCAGTAATGGGGCTTGAACTGAAAACCTGGGTGCAGTCCCTTTTTCACTCAGAGTGCTTTATAACTTGAGCTACACCTTCACTTCTGGCTTGTTATTGGTTGATTGGAGATGAGAGTCTCATGTACTTCCTGCCTGGACTGGCTTCAAACACATCTTCAGATCTCAGCCTCCTGAGTTGCTAGGATTATAGACATGAGCCACTGGCACCCAGCTTCTGTAATTCCTTTTAAATCTGCAAAGATTTTTAAATATCAAGTCCCTTCCCTCCATTGTCCAATCCATATTTCCAATCTTGGTCTCTTTGTAGAGGTTATATGTTTTTTGTAGAGGTCATCTGTCTTTTTATTTCTTCCACTTCAGTTCTCATACACATAATCTCATCACCACCAGTACTTGGTGTGTATTACTTCTGCACACAGCTAATCTTATACTCTTTATGTTGATTCCTATTTGTATACCTTGGAATGTCATACTTTTATAATCTTAGAGGTGAAGTGGTTGCTCACCTTTGAGCCTACCTTTGAGGATTTCTTTGTGGTGGTTCTGGAGCTTGAACTCAGGTCTTCACCTTTGCTAAGCAGGTGTTTTACCATCTGAGTCATGCCCTCAACCCCATGTTTCACTGCATATTTTAAAAATAGGGTCTTGCTTCCCACTCAAGCTTGACTTATGATCCACCTACTTAATTTAGGCTTTCTTTAGTCTCTAAAGGATGACAAACTAACACCACTGCCCCCAGTGTCCCTGCATAGAAATGGATTCTAGTGGAGTTTTCTGCCCAGAATGTCCTTGAATTGCAATCCTCCCATTCTCAGATTCACAATTACCTAAGATGAAAGGTGTGAGCCACTAGCATCTAACTTGTCTTTCTCTCTCTTCTCTTCTCTCTCTTTTTTTTTTTTTTTTTTTTTTGGTCAGTCATGGGGGCTGAACTCTGGGTCTGGGCAATGTCCCTCAGCTCTTCAGCTCAAGGCTAGCGCTCTACTACTTAAGCCACAGCGCCACTTCTGGCTTTTTCTGCTTATGTGGTGCTGAGGAATCGAACCCAGAGCCTCTTGCATGCAAGGCAAGCACTCTACCACTGAGCCACCTTCCCAGACACTCTCTTATGTTTTTTTAATCAGGGTCAATTATCAATTGTGTTGTGCTTTTTATTCTTTTGAATAATTTTCTTCTCTATACAGATATAACTTTATGGAAATGTTCTGAGATTTCTTTCGGATGTACACTCACCTACATGGTTCAGAGGCTTAAAGCCATCAGCTAGAGCCATCTCTTTGTTCCAATTGAGATTCTTATTCCAAAAAAATGCATATATAAAATACCTTAACCCAGATGATTTCTGACCCATTATATAAGCACCTTCCAGAGAAACTAGAGACTATTGATTGAATTAACAAAACGTTGTCTTTTTTTACTTTGTGCCAGTCCTGGCATTTGAACTCCAGGTCTTGCACTCTTACTTGCTCATGACTGACGCTCTAACACTTGAGCTATGATTCTTCAGCAACTTTGCTGGTTAGAGCCAAGCATCTGGTCTGCCTAGGCTGGTTTTGAACAAACCTCTTTGATCTCAGCCTCCTGAGTAACTAGGATTACAAGCATGAACTACCATTATTCAGCTTACTAAATTTTGAGTTCACAGTGTAGACTTCAAAGTGGTCAAGATGCACTGTATTCATAAACTGCTTCAGTGAATGGTAACTCCTCTGTACAACAACTTAAAGATAATAAAAACAGTTCCCCCAACAGTGGCTAACAATCCTGTTATACTCCTAATGTATTTCTTTGGAAATATATAGAAAAGTCATCATTATCTTTAAGCTTAATAGATTTAGAAAAATATTTCCAATTTTTCAGTTTTGTGCATCTTATTTTTCTGTAACACTTACAACGGAAACACACTCATTTACAGAAGACTGCTTATGAACATAGAGTCATAGTACATGCATGAATAGTACGTCAATAAATGGGGCTTGTTTCTATGAAACTTAAAAAATGTTTTCCAGTTTTACTAGGATTATGAAAAAGACCAATCAACACAGGTGCTCTAGTTCCTTTGACAAATGGATCTGTGTCCAGAACTATATGAGTCTAGCTACTGTGACTTAAAGTAGCCAGGTGCTGATGGCTCATGCCTGTTATCCTAGCTACTTAGCAGCAAAAGATCTGAGAATCACAATTCAAAGCCAGCCAGAAAGTCTGTGAGACTCTGATCTCCAATAAACCACCCTTCCTTCCCCTCCAAAACAAAACACGTTTTTAAAAAAGCTGGAACTGGAATTGGGGCTCAAGTGGTAGAGTTACAGCCTTGCTGGAGGGAAATAGGGGAGCAAGCTCAGGGACAGCATCAGACCTAAGTTCTAGTCCCAAGGTGGGCAAAGAAAGAGAAGAGAGAGAAGGAGGGAGGGAGGGAGAGAGAGAGAGAGAGAACAAGAGCACAAGTAATGGGAGCAACCCGCTTTTGTTCAAATGTGGCATTCACAATTAGAAGCAACTCTTTGTACCTTACTTCATTAGTGCCAAAGGGCGGCTTCAGAGTCAGTTCTTTACTAATGTGATTTATATTTCAGGATCAAAATAATCATCTGTCTCTTTAGCCAAACAGTTGGGAAATTCCTACTTTGTAGTAAGTGGCAGCCACTGGGTTTGCAGTTCCTATGCTCTGTGAGTAGCCACATGCATTTTCCTGTGAGTGGATGAATGGAAGGAATTGTGCATGATCCTCCCACTCAGTAATTTCTCCAAGTCATGGCTGACACCAACACAGAGCACTGATTGCTGTTTAAAATTTAATTTGTTTTAGTGGTTTATTGTCTTCTTCTCTGAAGATTAAGGCCCATGGAACCAGAGTTAATTGTGTTTACCAGTGTAAAATCATGAACAAGTATTATACCTGCACATAATAAGTATTCAGTAATGTGTGTGTGTGTGTGTGTGTGTGTGTGTGTGTGTGTGTGTGTGTGTGTGTGTGTGTTGATACTGGGGCTTGAACTCAGGCCTGGGCACTGTCATATTTTTAGTGATTAACTGGAGATAAACATGTCACAGAATTTCTTTCCTGAGCTGGCTTTGAACCTCAGTGCTCAGGTATCAGCCTCCTGAATTGTTAGGATTACAGGTATAAGCCACTAACTCCTCACTTCAGAACATTTTAACAAAATGAATAAATCACAACTCAGTGAAAGTGTATATTGATGAAAACTAAAAATAAACACTTGTAGGAAAGATACTTCTAAAGAATTTCATTAAGTATACTCTATTTTTTTAAAGCTCTTCACTAAGCTGAGGAAAAATCTACTCAAAAGACCTTTACTTTTTTTTTTAATGCTAATTCTTTATTATTATTTTTCTCTCACACTCTCCCTGTTTGTCTCTGATCCTCTAAGCATGCCCATATTATAAACCATTAGACAATGCCCCATAGTCTCTGAAATGTCCCATCCACACTTAATAATTTTCCATATTTTCATATTACATAATTTCAGCTGAAAAGACCTTTACTTTTAAATTTTCTATTCTTTTGCTGAATAAGCAAAGCTTACTGATCTTTCCACTACATCAGATACTGGAAGCATCCAAAATGTGGGTTGGAATCAAGTGTTCAAAACCACTTTCCTAGTAAATGTTTTTTTTTTTTTTTCTGAGAAAGTTGTGTGGTTTAATCATAAAAGTATTCAATCCTATATCTCTGACAAACCTACTGACTGAAAATGACAAATAACATTTTACTTCTTGCTTATTTGCTCACCTCTAGCATTTCCTTATTGGACACTCCAATCTCTAAAAACATGAACTATCCCTTATATATGCTGTTGCATATATACAATTTACAATTCTTAAAAAATAATAAAACCCAGAAATTATCTAACCCTTTCATAGAATTGCAGAATGGAAAGCATGTAAAATGTTTTAGAGGTTCACTAAGTAGCAAAATGAGTGATTCAAGAGGAAACAAACACTCAGGAGTAGGACTTTGCAAGGGTCAATGGGGTGGAGAAAGGATCACATCAGTTAGCCAGAGCTGTCCTTTAACCCCTGGTTATGTCATGTCTCTGCCCAGGATTACAGCCATACACTCAGATCAGGCGTTTTGATTAAAAGAATGAGGAGTTTGGCTCTTACTGGATTTGCATCATTCTCTGAAATTACTACTGGCTCCACAATTTAGCAGAATTAACTGAACCCTAAGGCCTGAGTCTTCATCTGCAAAACTGAGATATTAAAAATGCAATTGGTTGTAAGAATCCACTTAGAAATACTTTGATTGTATGCTAGGTAAAGCATTTAGGCCAGGCTTTGTCACATGATAAGCCTTAATAAAATATGAGTGGTATTGTTTTTATTAATATAGAATGTTAAAATCAGAAGCCATCTGTCTTTAGGTTTTCAGAAATAGCATCTTTGGAGAATGCTTGAGTATAACCTGGTTTTTATTTTGTTGTTTCTCAGCCTATTCATTAGAGAAATGCTAAGAAAAGGTGAAGGAAAGCAAAAGGGAGGAGTTGGCTCTATTAAATGACTTCCTCCATAAGCTGGAACCAGAGGGCTTTAAAAGGCCACCTAAAGACTGTTAACCCAAAAAGATACCAACCTACAAACACCAACACAGGTTTCCCTGTCCTTGTGTGACTCAGAGGAGTAGCATCACCCTTCCTTACTTCCATTTCCTCATCTGCAAAAGCAAACTGAATGCTTCGAAGTGCTGGCAGCTTTAAAATCACAGATAGTTTGTCACTAATTTGACCTTATTTAGTGACTTCTGTATTTTCTTACTCAGGAGGAAAAAGGTCTTTTACATGTCTGAGATAACAAGCATGAAGGCTTCCTTCCCCGTCCAACCCATTGTGCTTGGACAATGCCAGGATACCTTTCTGGCAGAAATGGGGGCTAGAAAGAGCATCCTCAGAGACATCTGGTGTGAGGGTCGCCGATGAATGGTCCTTTCATTAGCTCTTTGAATCCAACAGCTTCCTTGTTAAAAATCACTTATTCATTCGTCAACATTTCTCAAGGCAACTTGACAGTCTAGTTGGTAAGAACTTTACCCTCCTGGGTAAAAACAGTGTTTCTCAACTTCTTCCCCTGGACTTGTACTTTTTTTAATTTCTAAATATTTTGTTACAGATTTAACTAAATTCCATAAAGCCTGAGGAGTGCATCACCACCAAACAGCAAGAATGTGATGAAATCTTTTAAGAAATGTTCCATTACTGTAATTCCCCTTCACTTTCTCCATTACGAGAGAGGGCAGAAATAAGGAAGAGGAGGACAGTGAACATCAAAAAGAAAGCAAGAGGAGGGTAGACAACACAAGAGCTTTGAGGAATTCTCAATGAAAAACCAGCATACTGAGGAGGGGCAAGAAGATGAAGGTACAGTTAGGAAACATGAGAATTTGTACAGGCCAGTCCTGGTTCAAACTAAATGGAGAAAAATGCTTACTACAGCCATACAGTACACAGGAAGATTCCTGGCCAGAAATCCTTATGAGTAGGGGTCATTATTCCATACTTCCCACTGAGTTTATAGTTTCAAGACTGCAAAAATTACCTGTCTGATCTGCTCTAGTTAATGCTGAAATTAGGGAGCAACCATATTGCTTATTGATCACTGCTATAAAACTCTATAGACAGTATAACAGTAACACACTGAGACAATATTCATGTCATGTATTTAATTTATACATGCTTTTAAATGTTCGTATAAACATTATAAAATTAATTTTTCATTTGACTTACTACAGAAATTGTTTAAGCAAACTTGGCAAGCACTAACAAAGAAATCAATAGGATTGAAACAGTTCTTAGGTTTTATGTGTGTACTCTCATGAAAATTAACCTCCAAGCCTATAGCAGAGTTAATAAGAAAATACTTTTCAGAGGCTTTAACTGTGTTTTTATTGCACATATTTTAAAATGTTATTTATGAAATGTTATATGCTAATTGCTTATTGAATTCAAGAAACCATTGAATGATTCTGTTTGTTAAATGCTTTAAATTTGTTCTTTACTAAAACAGCCATCTTACCAGTTGGAGCTCTCCTATCCTGGTATAGCATAACGCTCTGTTATAAAATGCTATATAATTGTTTTTGTCCATGTTCACAGTTGTACTTAAATCTGTGATAGCTAGCTTGTAATTCTACAAAGAAACAGAAAATTGAGAAGAGTAAATCATAATGGGTTGACATTTAATTATAAAATAAATTTTGATCCTATCATGTTCATAGCACTCATTTAAACATTCTGGGTTATCCCTCATAAAATTACGAAAGCCAAGCTAATCTTTCATGAGGTTAACATGATCATATTCCTGGTAAGAATTCTTATGATTGTTTTCATCCACAAATAAAATTAAAGATACTAACATTTTAAATTTATTTTTAATGTTTTTATCTTTAAGGAGTTGTATGGAGGTTTCAATTCTACTTATCAATTTGTAGGTATAATGCATTGTGATCAATGTCCCCTCTTCCATCATTCTTCCTAATTTAGGCTATTACCAAATAGTATATGGCTTGGAGACAATTATACTGGTTGAGTTTTCTTTTATTTTTTCTGACATATCACATAGTCACATTGTTTTCTGGCCACACTCTCTTCAATGTCCTTTTTTATTATTCTCTGATACTTTATGTCACCTATTTTTCTTTCTTTTTATTATTAATTTTTATTGTAAAATGTTGTACAGAGGGGTTACAGTTACATGAGTAGGGTAATGAGTACATTTCATTGCGAGCATTGTTACTTCCTCCTTTATTTTCCCCCTACCATCACTTCCCTCCCCATCTCCCCAACTCCTCCCACTCCCCCCACCCTGACATTGTACAGTTCATTTTCACTATAGTGTCCTGCACATCTCATCGTCACAATGGGTCAGCCTGCATCCTCATTTAAGTGTTCTGCAATATCCCTTCCCCTCCCCAAATTACAAAAATATATATACAAGGTGCAGAGCACCAGCTTCAAATCCAGTGAAAACATGGGGGAAGAACATACAATAGAAACAAAAGAATCACATAGTGTATTGTAAGTACACTAAAAACACTAGCAAGAAAGAGAAAAGGGAAAGAAAATAAACCTCTTGTGTCCCTGTCTTGGGGTACATTTCGCTTAACATTATCTCATATGGTCAGACATACATAGTCTTTTACCTACTCTGCTTGTCCTAGACATGTACTAGTCACTGCAAACAAGGGAAACTATGGGACCTATGTTTCTTTGGGCCTGGCTTACTTCACTTAATATGATTTTTTTCCAAGTTTTTCCATTTTCTAACAAAAGAAGCAATGACATTTTTTCTGACAGAGGCATAGAATTCCATTGTATATATGTACCACATTTTCTTGATCCATTCATCCAATGAGGGGCAGCTGGGTTGGTTCCATGTCTTAACTATGGTAAATAATGCTGCAATAAACATGGTTGTGCTGGTAGCTTTGGTATGACCTTGTTTGTGAACATTTGGGTAAATGACCAGAGTGAGATTGCTGGGTCATAAGGGAGCTCTATGTGGAATATTTTGAGGAACCTCCATACTGCTTTCCAAAGTGGTTGAACAAGTTTACACTCCCACCAATGCAGTAGGGTTCCCTTTTGGCCACATCTTCTCCAGCATCTTGATGATAGATTTCTTGATGATAGCCATTCTAGGTGGGGAGAGTTGGAATCTCAGTGCTGTTTTGATTTGCATTTCTTTTATGGCTAGAAAGGTTGAGCATTTCTTCATGTGTCTATTGGCCATACTTATTTCCTCTTCAGAGAAGTCTCTCTTTAAGTCTTTAGCCCATTTGTTAATTGGGCAGTTGTTTCTTTGAGGATTTGTTGTTGAGGGATTTAGTTTTTTGAGTTCTAAGTATATTTTAGATATACGACCTTTGTCCATTGTATGGCTAGTGAAGATCTTCTCCCAGTCCATGGGCTTTCTGTTGATCTTACTAGCTATGTCCTTTGCCTTGCAGAAACTCTGCAGCTTCATGCAGTCCCATTTGTCCAACCTTTCTTTGATTTGTTGTGCTTCTGGGTCTCTATTAAGAAAACTTTGGCTTGTGCCAAGGAGCACCAGAGTTTCTCTATTCCTTCCTGTAATGTTTTCATGGAGTCTGCTTTTATTTTAAGATCTTTAATCTATTTGGAGTTGATTCTGATGCAGGATGATACATATGGATCTAGTTTTAATTTTCTACAAGTGTTTAACTAATTTTTCCAACACCATTTACTGAAAAAGCTGTCTTTCTTCCATTCTATTTCTTTAGCTCCCTTGTCAAAGATTAGATGGCTATAGGTCTGTGGGTTCATTTCTGGGTCTTCAATCCTATTCCATTAGTCCTCAGGTCTGTTCTTGTGCCAGTACCAAGCTATTTTGATTACTATGGCTTTGTAGTAGAGTTTGAAGTTTGGAATTTATATCCCGTGCTGTTCTTTCTACTAAGGATTGTTTTTGCCGGGTGCTAGTGGCTCATGCCTGTAATCCTATCTACTCAGGAGGCTGAGATCTGAGGATTGCAGTTCAAAGTCAGCCCAGGCAGGAAAATCCATGAGACTCTTATCTCCAATAAACCACTAGAAAACCATAGTGGCACTGTGGCTCAAGCGATAGAGCACTCACCTTGAGCTGAAGAGCGCAGGGACAGCACCTAGGCCCAGAGTTCAAGCCCCACGACTGACCCCCCCCCCCAAAAAAAAAGATTGTTTTTGCTATTCGAGGTCTTTTATTGTTCCATGTGAACTTTTGGATTGCTTCTTCTATTTCCTTGAAGAATGAGTTGGAATGTTGATAGGTATAGCACTGAATTTGTAGATAGCCTTTGGCAGTATTGCCATTTTCTCAATATTAATCCTCCCAATCCAGGAGCATGGGAAGTTTTTCCACTTGAAGAGGAGTGGGGAGAGTGGACACCCTTGTCTCGTTCCTGAATTTAGAGGAAATGGCTTTAACTTTTCACCATTAAGTATAATGCTAGCTGTAGGCTTGTCATATACAGCCTTTATTAAGTTGTGGAATGTTCTTGCTTGCTTGCTTGCTTTTTTTTTTTCCGGTCAGTCATGGGGCTTGAACTCTGGGCCTGGGCGCTGTTCCTCAGCAATTCAACTCGAGTCTGGAGCTCTACCACTTGAGCCACACCATCACTTCCTATCATCTATTTTTATATGTAGTAATTTTCATAAAATTAATACATAATTCAAATCTTTGCTTTAGGGTATTATTTGCAAAATATTTTATATAAAGCAGCTACAAAAAACACATTTTTAAAAAGGAAAGAGAGAATATTTTCCACATAGCTCCAGATGTTGAGCACTGTCCTTATCTTTAGCCCTGTAATTCAGAAACCAATTATAAACTTGAGCAATGATTTTGTTCTCAACCGTGCATAACTATATTGCTTGAAATAGAAAAATTTAAAACATACCAAGTGCCCACGAATTCTATGGTTAAAAACAAATAACAAGCAAAAATTGCCGTGGAATATTATGCCATTACATAAATGACACTTGCAGCAATTAAGTATAAAAAAATCAACAAAGAGCATCTGTTACCTAAGTAGTAAACTCCCATGGTGTATATTATCAGGAAAACAAAAAGCAAGCTAATAACACTTTCTGTCCTTACATATTTATAATGAACACATAATTCTTTGTTAATAAAAATAAATGACAATTTTTTGGGGGGTGGTTCTGGTCTTGGGGCCTGAACTCTGGGCCTGGGCGCTGTCCCTCAGCTCTTCAGCTCAAGGCTAGCACTCTACCACTTGAGCCACAGCACCACTTCCAGCTTTTTCCTTTTTGCTTGTGTGGTGCTGAGGAATTGAACCCAGGGCCTCAGGCATGCAGGGCAAGTGCGCTACCACTGAGCCACCTTCCCAGGCCATAACTGACAATTTTTTAAAGGTAAATGTCTAAAGTATTCTTATGCCCAGCACTGTTGGCTCATTCCTGAAATCTTCACTGCTCACTAGGCTAAGATCTCAGGTTTGTGGTTCAAAGTCAGTCTATGAATAAATGTCCATGAGACTCTTATTTCCAATTAGCCAACAAAAAGCCAAAAGTAGAGATGTGGCTCAAGTGAGTACCAGCCCTGAACAACAAGGCCAAATGAGACTGCAAAATCCTGAGTTCAAGCCTTAGTATAAGCACAAAGAACAAAAACTAAACAAAAATGTATTCTTGCCAGGCACTGGTGGCTCTTACCTGCAATCCTAGTTCCTCAGGAGGCTAACATCTGAGGATCATGGTCCAAGGCCAGGCTGGGCAGATCCAATTAACCAGCAGAAAACCACTGTGGTTCAATATGGTAGAACACTAGTCTTGAGTGGAAAAAAACTCAGGAATAGTACCCAGGCTCCAAGTTCAAGCCCCACAACTGACAACAACAACAACAAAAAATGTATTCTTCTTTTGTGGGAAAAAAAAATGCATCTCTTTGATGCATTGTGGAAAAAGGTATCTTGTGTAGTTCATCCTTTCATAGCACAGTAATTCTATCACAAAATTGAATCTCTAGTTAGCACCCAGAGAATCCACCAGCTCTCAGTTTTAGTAAACCAGGCAGGAAGAGCCTACCTTGCCATAGTACTTCAGAACTCCTCTGTAGAGGTAGGCCCGCACGCCCTGAGGATAAATCTTGATGGCCTCATTACAATTCAAAATTGCCTTGGCATACCTTCCCTGAGAACCGTAGAAGGCTACTCGGCTTAAATATGCCTTATCAGAGAAAGAAAAGAGGAAAGAAAGATGTGTGTTGGTAAAATCATCAGTTTTGCCAAAATATATAAAATTTTAAATCAATCTATAGCTATCAAAATGAATTTAAAAGTGTGTTCTTCACTATCATTTGAAAATACTCCATATGAAATAACAATGTATCAGTCACTATAATAAGGGTGACTTATAATGCCTATCTAGATTCAATAATTAGTAACATTTGCCTGCCCTGTTTATTTTAACTATTTTTTTCCCTGAACTATTGGGAAATAAATTGTAGATATTGTGATCCTTGACCCTGTGTCCTACAGTATGTATCTCCTGGGCAAAAACCACGTGTCCCTACATAGGCACACTACTATCCAAGATTATAGCCATTTCCTAAAACCATCTAAGATGTAGTTACCTCAAATGTCAAACTTTTTATTGTTATTGTAAAGGTGATGTACAGATGGATTACAGTTACATAAGTCAGGTAAGGAGTACAATTCTTTTTGAACAGTATCATCTGTTCCCTCATTTCCTCCATTTTTTCCCTCCCAATCCCCTCCTCACACACACACACAAATTATATGTAGTATCACTGCTGCCTTAGTTCACCCTTTGTCCCACCATTTCTGGGTCACTCTTACCCTCTCTAAAACAAATAAATTTACATACAAGACAAAAGGTACAGAAAACAAAAATAGCAACAAAGGAGAGAGAAAAGAAAAAGTAAAATAATAAAAAAAAAACTCCATTTCTTGGAGCTCATTTCAATAAACATCATTTTATATGATCATATGTATATGGCTATTGAGCTTTTATGACCCTCTCCTAAGAATATCTTCCTTTGGTCTCACCATGTGAATATCTAGAGTCCTGTATAATTTATCACATACAAGTGTACCATTTGTAAGGAAAAGGAAAGATTTGGAAAAAATTATATTAAGCAAAGTAAGCCAGACCCAAAGAAACATAGACTGGATGGTTCCCCTAGTTTGTTATTAGTAGAATATGCCTATAAATCTACAAGTAAACACACTGGAGTGTCAAATACTTTTAAAAATGAGTCTCCACCAAATTTCATGCATTTACTTGTGTATTGTCTCCACAGTCTATATATCCAATGTGATATCAAAAGCAATAGAAAAAAATACTAAAAATATATGCACCAAAAGTATTTAATAGATCAATTGATATACTAGCAATGTATGTAAATATTTCATAATGTCAAATCATTTCCAGAAATAATTCTCCTATTAGAAATAATACTCTTTGGTAGAACTGGAGTATGAACTGACAGCACTATTGTTCTTGCTCAGCTTGCTTGCTTGGCTGGTGTTATACTACCTGAGCCATGTCTTTAATCCTAGAAATAACACTTATAGTTCAAGGAGAAATACAAACGTTTGGATTATCAAAACACAGTTAGCTGAAAAGTAGGTATAAGTAACAAACTATTCCCATGAATGGTATATAAAAGACTTGATACTGTTGTCAAAATTAACATACATTTTACATCACTGGTATCATTTATTCAAATACCTGGTAATGTTTGGGGTTGAGAGTAATTGCACGATTAAAATCTATAATTGAGTTATCTTTCTGGAGTTTTATTTTACAAAGTCCTCGTTGATAAAAGGCTTCCGCAAAGTCAGGATTTGTTTTCACAGCCTTTGTAAAAGAATCAAAAGCCTGGAAGAGTATATTGTTAAAAGTATAATCCACTTAGTGAATAGGATATATTGTTTTAAAAGTTTGGTAATCTATGGTATATAGCTACTATTGAAGGTCTCACTCTGTTTTTGATTTTGGTTCTGGCTTTTTGATCATATAAAACATTCTCTCACTGAATTTTGTGGAGCAAACAAAAGTAATGTTTAGAAATGTCAGGTTTCTTATTATAGTTAAACTTCTCTTTCTTTCTAAATTAACATATAGAAAAAACATTGTCAGATTTCAATGCTTTGGGGGTATTATTTTAATTATAACTCTGGATTTTATTTCCTTAAAGAAGCCACAACCAGCAAGATTCATTTTCCATGATAGACAAGAATTATAGCAGATATATAGTTAGAAAATTTTAGAACAGTAAAATGCTAAAAACTTTCCGTGAATCTTGTCATCTGTCAAGATGGTTTGAGTTATTAATGAAAATCAAACACTATCCTTATCATTTTCCATTTATTCTATAGCATATTGAAGCACTTGGTTTACTTAAAATTTAGTAAATCCTATCAGTGCAGTGAATATGTTTTTTCTATAATAATTTCCTACAGTTAGATTCTTTTTGGTAGAAAACACATACTAATCTTTAAAATGTTGTCCAAAAAGTATCAAATGAAATGTATTGCTTAAATTAAAAACAAAAACATGGGAACTATAGATGCGGACTGACTATAGTGGGCAGGGCTTTAGTGCACCTTTGGTCTAGTCACTTTTGGTACTGCCTATATAGTGATCAGAAAAAGAACTGAATGAAAGCAACCAATTTCTAAAAACATAATAATCACTGCTTCTAAATACACACAATACCATTTGTAAGTTGCCTTCTTCCATGTAACAAATACCCAGGTGATACAGACAGTCTGCTGAAGTATCTACGGCACTTGGATCTTTATCAGAAAGGACAAACATTTCCAATGCCTTCTTAAACATTTTTATAGCTTCCTACAAGGATAAAAAAAAGAGATGAAAGGAATGCCTCTTCCTAATATTTATTTAACATTATAGCCTTAAATGTTCAAAGGAACATGGGCACACTGCAATGTGCCTCTCACTTCAAATTCTTTTTTTTGTTGTTGTTTGTTTTTGGTGTGGTGATGATGGTGGTGGTGGTGGTGGTGGTGGTGGTGGAGGTATGTGTGTGTGTGTGAACTGGGGGCAGGGCGACTGTCCCTGAGATTTTTGTTTCAGGTTAGTAACCACATCAGCCAGAGCTCCACTTTCTGATGCTTAACTGGAGCAAAAATATTGGGAAAAAGGGTCTCATGGATCAAGATATATTGTATTCACAAAATGCTTTGTTAAATGACTATTCCCTTGTACAACTACTTAAATATAAATAAAATGGGGGGGGGGGGATCTCAGGGACTTTCCAGCCCAGAACGGCTTCAAACCATGGTTCTCAGATCTCAGATTCTGAATTGCTAAGATTACAGGAGTGACCTACCAGCAATTGACCTGTATTTTCCTAAACTCTTGGAAATGAGTAGAGTAACAAAATACTGTCTTTCTAAAGATGTTAGTACAAGGTTGACAATTTGCATTATTCTAAGTGTACTAAGCCAGGGGCATAAGCTCAAGTGGACTGCATAATCTCACTCATATTTGGAATAGAAGAAAATTGATCTCATAGAAGGTAAACATGGAATGTTGGTTACCAGAGGCTGAGGAAAAGAAGGGGCAGGAGAAAGATGGAGAAAGGTTGATCAATACAGTTAAATGTAATCAAGACATTTTGGTGGCCTATTGCACAAAAGCATAACAGTATGGATAATAATGTATTATTTCATTTTTAAAAGCTGGAAAAATTTGAGCATTTTCTCCATAAAGAAATGTCAACATTATGCAATATATACATGAATTGAAATATCTCATGGTACCCCACAATATACCAAATTTGATGGTGTTTTTAATGTAAACTTAAAGATTTTTTTCAATTTAAAAATCACCTGTTTTATTAAATGCGTTTTTTATTGTGAAAATACTGTACAGAGAGGTTACAGTTACATAAGCAAGGTAATGAGTACATTTCTTGTCCAGCATTGTTGCCTCCTCCTTCATTTTTCCCCTAATATCCTCTCCCTCCCACCTCCTCAACTACACCCCCCTAAAAATCATCTTAAAGTCTTAAATCAAAAAAGAAAAACTTGGGGCTGGGAAGGTGGCTCAGTGGTAGAGCGCTTGCCTTGCATGCCTGAGGCCCTGTGTTCGATTCCTCAGCACCACATAAGCAAAAAGAAAAAAGCCGGAAGTGGTGCTATGGCTGAAGTGGTAGAGCGCTAGCCTTGAGCTGAAGAGCTGCGGGACAGTGTCCAGACCCAAGTTCAGGCCCCACAACCGGACCCCCCACCACAAAAAAGAAAAACTTAAAACCTCCAGAGCTTCCCTATGACCCAGCAATTCCACTCCTGGGCATTTATCCATAGACCACAAACAAGTCCCCACTAAAGCTACCAGACAACCATGTTCATTGCAGCACTGTTTACCATAGCTAAGATATGGAATCAATACATACAAATAAATCAAGAGAATGTGGCGTATACACACAATGGAATTCTACTCATCCATCAGAAAGAATGATATTGTGCCATTTGTAAAGAAATGAAAAGACTTAGAAAAACTTACATTAGGCAAAATAAGCCAGACCCAAGGAAACATAGGCTGCATGTTTTCCCTCATTTGTGGTAACTAGAATATGCCTATAAATCTATAAGCAAACACACTAGATGGTAAACAACAAAAAATACACTGGAACATGATAAATTGTACAGGTTTCTAAACATTCACAATTAGACCCAAAGAAGATATTCTTAGGAAAGGATCACAAAGGTATGTGTGCATATGATCATATAAAATAATATTTATCTAAATGAACTCCAAGAAATGGAAACGAGAGCTTTTTATCTGTTGACATTTTGTTTTCTTTACCTTTTGTCTTGTTACTAAGTTCATCTATGAAGGGATAGGGGGCACTGATATGGTGGGACAAAAGTGAATAAATGCAGCAGTGATACTCATTAGACACTATGTTGAAAATGAGCTATACAACTTGTTGGTGGAAATAGGAGGGGAAAACTAGGAGAGAGCAATGGAAGAGATGACACTGTCCCAAAAGAAAGGTACTCATTACCTGATTTATGTAAATGTAACGCTTCTGTGCATCACCTTTATAATAAAAATATATTTTATAAAGAAAATATAACATAATATCTTAATGATCTCAACACAGAAAAGTTCGTAATATTTTTCAAAGTCCTAACCATAAAACTAAGAATAAATATATTTAACAACATAAAAATTAAGACTCCAGATACCAGTGGCACACATCTGTAATGCTAGTTACTCAGGAGGATGAGATCTGAAAATCATGGTTCAGAGCCAGCCCAAATAGGTTTAAGTCTGTGAGATTCTATCTTCAATTAAGCAAGAAAAACTCCAGAAGTAAAGCTGTGGCTCAAGTGGTAGAGCATTAGCCTTGAGCACAAAAGCTCAGAGACAATACCCAGGCAGTGAGTTCAAGCACTAGAGACCATCATACATGAAGAAAAAAAATCATATACCAAAGACACAAGACAATAAAAAGATAAGCCACAAATGATGAGAAGATACATGGGTGCACAAGCAAGCATTAGTAAAAAGAATTTCTTAAATGCCAAAAATCAAGACGTACAAGACAAATACAGATGTGTATAGACAGAACTGGAAACACAAGTGACTGATAAACTGATAAAAATTAAAAGATGCTCCTCCTGATACTCAAACAGAGAAAGATGATCTATGAACAAAGCGAAACTCATTTTTAATCAGATAAGAGTCTGCCAATTCCACTTATCATAGAGGATAGAGAAGCCCTTATATGCTAGCAGAGGGGAGAGGAAGTTCTAACAAACCTAAGGAAAAATATGTCCTCTCTACATACTAGCAATTCCACTCCAGGAATATATCCTTAAAAAATGATGATACTCATTAATAAAAGATATGAAACAGAATATTTGGAGCAGTTGCTGTCTTAAGAAGAAGAAATGAAATAACCTGAGTGTTAGTTAATAGAAAAACAAATAAATAGTATAATAGGTTTTTGTTGTTGTTGTTGTTTGTTTGTGGGGGGGGGCGGGTTGCCAGTCACGGGGGGCCTGAACTTTGGGCCTGGGCGCTATCCCTCAGCTCTTCAGCTCAAGGCTAATGCTCTACCACTTGAGCCACAGTGCCACGTCTGGCTTTTTCTGCTTATGTGGTGCTGAGGAATCAAACCCAGAGCTTCATGCATGCAAGGTAAGCACTTTACCACTAAGCCTCCTTCCCAGCCTCAGTATAATAGGTATGAGCAAAAATAAATAGCATATTCATACATTAAAAGCACCATGTCATTTTGTGACAATAATATTTAAATGTCATATGCTAAGCACAGCCTATTATTTCCATTGCTTGATCTAATAAACAGTAATCATGGACTTTTCACCTTGATTTTCCTAGCCTTCATTTGGGCTTTTGCTAACAAGGAATACATGGTGACTTCTGGTTTATTCCACACAATCCCATTCAAGACCTGAATGGCTTTGTCATGATTTTCACAAAATGAATAAATGAGTGCTTGCTGTATGGGACTCAATTCAATGGCACCTAAGAAAGAAAGAAACTTTATCAGTGCCTTTACCAAGTATTGAGAATTTAGATTAGAATTATTTTAAGAATGTCACAGAATTCCATATTATACTGAAACACATTTACTACCAAAAAATAATAAGGCATTCCCATCACAAACCAAAAAAGTAAAACTAAGTTTGTAACAAAATCACTATACTATGAATCAGATGATGCACACAAACTTTAGAAACTGTCAAGTGAACTCTTCATGTTGTTAATATATAGGTATTACAAGGAGTAGAAATTTTTGAAGAAGTATTTATTAAGTTAAAACAATTTTAATCTTTGTGTTATACTTACCTTTGTTCATTTCTGCCACTTGATAAATAGTGAATTTTGCAAGATCATAACACTTCATTGTAAGAAGGTATTGTCCTCTGGAAGAAATAGTAGCTTTTTTATTCTAAGCAGCTACATTTTTTTTCTAAAATCAAATGTCTTATAATCAATTGCTTAATATTTTAGGATTATAATGTATTCATATTTGCATATGGAAGCATAAAAACAAATCAAGATGGTGATATGGTAATTTAAGAAATGCAATACTGAGAAGAAAATATTCAGACATCTTTTTTGCACCTACCTATGCTTAAATTGTTGTACTTGATTGCTGAGAAATCATTTAAAAGTAAAGTTTATGGAACATTAAATACATTAAAATGTAATTATAGCTGGGTGCTGGTGGCTCATGCCTATAATCCTAGCTACTCAGGAGGCTGAGATCTGAGGAATATGGTTTAAAGCCAGCCCAGGCAAGAAAGTCTGTGAGACTCTATTTCCAATAAACTACTAGAAAACCAGAAGTGGCATTGTGTCAAGTGGTAGAGTGCTAGCCTTTAGCTGAAGAGCTGAGGGACAGCGCCCAGGCCCAGAGTTCAAGCCCCACAACAATAAGTAAGTAAATAAATAAATAAAACGTATTTACATACATTTCTAAAATGTGACACAAAAGCAAGCCTTTACCAGAAAGCATTCATTCCATTCTATATTTCTAGGTCTATTAATCCTGAGAGATTATATTTTTGACAGCAAAAAACTTGCAAAAGGTCTTTCTTTTAAATAGCAACACCTACTAAATTTGTTATTCTATGTGTCATTCTTTTTTCTGCTGTATTAGCTGACAGTTGGGTATCCCTGTGGACACAATCACAGCTGACATTCAAAATGTATTTATCTCACTCACTATCATAAGATACTTGATAGATAACTAGCCATCTAGAAAGGCCTCAGAAATGTAACTAACAGTCAGCAGTGGCGTTCTGATGTAAAGATACAGCAAAGGGAAAGATCCGGTTATCCTATATAATAAATTATCTCAATTTTATCACAAACTGGAGGTATATGTTGGAAGATGGAGTATTTCTTGCAGATTAAGCATAAAATGAAGAGACTGGAATAGTAAGGGAGAGTAAAAGGGAGAATAAACAATCCCAGTAGCTTATTCAGATGCTGTTTTCCCCCAAACAATCCGATGCCTACTCTCATACCTTATTATGTAGAATTGGATTCCATCTGGCTGAAGGTGAATAATACGAGATAACTCCCTTACTGCCTTACTCAGGTTATGTAACTGTTGAATGATAAATAGAAACAGGTTCTAATAAAACTAATTTCTTTCTTTCTGATCCTTATCCCTTCCCACATTTCACTATACCTTCTATTTTGCAGAGATATCTAATACAGAGGATTTTCTTTAAAATTATCAAAGCTAATAGGAAATAGAGAAATGAAAGCAGAAGAATGATTATAAATACACTTACTTAATTATCATTTTACATTAATATAATTATGTTACACATTCTGGTTTGTATGTGCTCTTTTTTCTGGGTTTTTTTTTCAGTTTTTCTCACTCAACTATAGTGCCTCTTTCACCAAACTTCAGTTATCTTTAACCAGCCCATATGCAAAGGAAGATAAAGTTAAAGTTAATTCCACTGGGAAAACAAATGGGGACAGGGACCAGGCTCCCCGTCTTGAAGGAAAAAGTAGGCAAAATAATGATTAAAAGAAAACATAAGAATGATATAGCCAGGTCCCAGTGACTCATGCCTGTAAGTCTAGTTATTTAAGAGTATTGAGGGTCAAAGCCGGACAAGGCAGACAAATCCAAGAGACTCATCTCCAATCAATCAGCAAAAAGGCTGAATGTGAGGTGTGGCTCAAATGTTCAAGTGCCAGCCTTGAGTGGAAAAACCTAAGCAAGAGCTAGAGGATCTGAGTTCAAGCTCCAGTACTGGTACATATATACACTCACAAACACACACACACACACACACACACACACACAGAAAAAGCCGGGTACTGGTGGCTCATGTTTATAATCCTAACTACTGAAGAGGCTGAAATCTGAGGATCGCAGTTTAAAGCCAGCCCGGACAGGAAAGTAGTCTGTGAGACTTTTATCTGCAATTAACCACCAGAAAACTGAAAATGGCACTGTGGCTCAAGTGGTAGAGCACTAGCCTTGAGCTGAAGAGCTGAGGGACAGCACTGAAGACCAGAGTTCAAGCCCCACAACTGACAAAAAAAGTTATATAAAAAGATATATTTAGCATCAATATACAATGAGAAGTAGATGTTCAATAATTGTCACTGAAACATAGTCTGATTACACACAGGTGAAGACAAAACTCTACTACTACCAGAGAAGTACTAAAAAGACTCAGCAAAATTAAACTGGAACAACCAACCACTCTTCTAAATATAATGACATCATGATGATGAAGCAAAATATGAATATATTATTCTCTTTTGTGAAGTTCATATTTCTACATGGAAGTAAGTAGTACCTGCAGATATAGTGTAAATTGTCCTGTTCTACCACCTGTCCACATCCATGCATTAAGTAAAAACTAGGTTCACTCTAAATTTATAAACTTTCTCTCCAGGCATCCATAGATTAGTTCTCAGTAGTAGTTAAATCCCCACCAGTAGATGAATGTCATCTCTCATATATACATGAACAGGATTTGATTTATAACTTTTACATGGGATCATATCATATACACTTTAACCCTTTCCTAAATCTTGCTTTTCCTACACACACACAAAAAAATAGCTCATGGAAATTCCTTCAAATCACCTAGTATAGTTCTGTTTATTCTTTTTACTGACTGTATTCATCTATTACTGTGGAGAGATGTTTGCCTCTTAGAACAAAGTGCCTTTGAATATATGTCCTCGCATCTGACTATGATGATGAGTGTGTGAATTGGTTTCTAGGATTGCATAGGAATCAAACCAATGTCCCTAAATGGGCTCAGGTTCTTCAACAGTGTTAGATTAACACACACAAAAAACCTACATACTACAGTTATACCCATGTCTTTCCCAAGGACCAAGAGCTAGAATCCCATAGGAGCAACACTGAGCCTATGCTGGGTTTCTCCATCCTCTGGAAGGTAAGAACTTAATAGGACTCTAGTCACACTGGGTTCTAAGATGCAGAGAATGAAGGAGAGACCTGCCAGACGATCCTCTACGCACATGTAGAATGTGCAAGAAATAAGTCTTTTGGTGTTTTAGTAAGGTGATTTTGAAGTTTTGGTGTTTTTTTTACTACAGTGTAACCAAGTCTGTTGGGACTTGAATCAGTACATCTAGAGAGCTTTCAGGAAATGCATTGAATGGTCATGAGGAGCCACCTTCTGTGGTTACCTATAGGACTTGAATTTTGGTTCTATTCTAAGTGTCAAAGAAAGTAATCATCTGTTTTTGAGCACAAAGTAAAATGACCAGTGCTTTGACAGGATGGAGTCTGCTGTGTTGCAATTCTGTCAAAGCAGTAAAGACCAGAGTGAAGAAGACTAGGAGGGGGTCGCAGCAGTGTTGATAGGGAACGGCTGTGTCTTGGACAGGGCAATTAGTGATGAGCAGTTGGAAAGCAGTGTCTATTTGAGGGCTGGAGATGAAGTCAGATTTAGTTACACTTGGTTTTACAGAATTGTTTGATTTTTTACAATAAGGATATATAATACATTTTTAATTTAGGTAACTATAAACTATTAAATAGTAATGGATTTTGATCCCATTCTGTGAACCCACTCACCCGGCAGTATATACACACACACACACATACACACACACACACACACACACACACACACACACACACACACACACACACACACACTCTGACAGATCCCAAAATTTTAGTGGTACCAATCCCCAGAGAACAAAATTATGGACAGTTTTTAATTTGCTAATTTTCATTAACTTATTTAATGCTCACTATTATTTGCATGAAGACATTACCTGCAATAAATATTATTGCTTTGGTAATAAGGATTAAACAGGAACTACATTATTGTAAAACTGAAAGACATTAAAATGCACACATCATTAGAAGTTTTGTAAGTAACTATATTTAACTTTATCTGTTTAGCTTTTGTTGTTCATAAATCCATTTGCTTCTACTGCTATTAAAGAGATGAATACACTAGTACAGCAGAAATTACCTTGAACAAATATCCAAAATACAATTTTTTGGCAATACTGGAATTTGAACTCAGTGCCTTATACTTGTAAGGATTACTTGGCTGGTGTTCTACCAGTTGAATCAAACTTCCAGCCTTGCTTCTTGCTGGGTATTTTGGAGATGAACTCTCCAGTGACTTGCTATTTAAGCTAGTTTCAAAGCGTAGTCCTACAGATCTCAGCCTCTTGAGTATGTAGGATTACAGGTGTGAGCCATCAGCATCTGGCTTACATTTCCTTAAAAATCCAAGATTCTCTAGCCTTAAATACCTTATGATAGGCTTCTGCTCTACAAAGATAGCTTTGAATATTCAAAGAATCAATCTTAATAGCTTCGGAAAACTTCCAAATAGCTTGAGTGTAGTTATCCAGGTGAAGCAGATGTATGAGGCCAATGTTTATATAAGGCAAAATAATAGTTCTAAAAATAGAAAATGAGAAAGAAAATCTTATTAAAAGTCTTTATGATTCCAAATTATGAATAATCCTAATGAAATAGATGCATCAATATATATCAAGGTGTTTTTAATGTTTCACTTAGGCAATGTAAATTAGTTTACTGCACTTTTTTTTTTTCAATTGTGGAGCTTAAACTCAAAAAGCTCAGGAGTTGTCACTAAGCATTAGTACTCAAGGTTAGTGTTCTACCACTTTGAGCCACAGCTCCACTTCCAGTTTTCTGGTGATCATTTGGAGATCAGAGACTCAGACTTTCTTCACTGGGCTGGTTTTGAACCATGATCCTCAGATCTCAGCCTCCTAAATAGCTAGGCTTACAAGCATGAGCTCTTGATGGCAGGCTCTGTACTTCCTTATTATAAACACCATTTATAAAATCCTTAGGAAAAAAAATAACAATCATAGTCTATGTCAACAGAATTTATGAGGTCTCCCAGACTCAGTAATTCTTTACTCTTCCTTAATGTAATCTTGAGTTTCTTGAATTACAAGATATTTCCTTCAACTCAAATTTCTTTGCCTCAGGCCATGAGTAAAAGTAAAAAATAGTAATATTCTATGGTTTAGGAGTTTGGGGATAAACATTCTCTCCACATTGGCATTTACACAGCTACTTTTTTATATTGTAAAAATACTGTACAGAGGGGTTACAATTACATGAGTAAGGTAATGAGTACATTTTTTATCGAGCATTGTTGCCTCCTCCTTTGTTTTTCCCCTACCATCCCTTCCCTCCCCATCTCCCCAGCTACTCCCACCCTCCCCCTCGCCGAAGTTGTAAAGTTCGTTTTCAACATAGTGTCTTGTACATCTCATTTTTCAATGGGTCAACCTGTATCCCTATTTAAGCATTTTGTTTTTTCCTTTCCCCTCCCCAAATCAGAAAAATGTATATACAAAATGCAGGGCACTGGAATCAAATACAGTGAAAACAGGGGTCATACCATGGGGGAGGAACATACCAAAGAAACAAAAAAATCACGTAGTACATTATAAATATGTTAAAAAACAATAGCAAGAAAGAAAAAACTATACACGGCTACTTTTTTATATCAAATAAAGGTTGTTTTCCTCTATAAAATCAAACAATTTTTAGAATGGGAATGACCTTATACATTATTTTGTTCAATTCTTCTATTTCAAGATAAGGAAATTACATTTCCAATAGATTCTTTACCTGGGACATCAAAGTTCCTATCACCTACTTTCTAATCCTTGTATCTGAAATTCTTTCTTTCTTTTTTTTGGGGGGTGGGGGTCCGGTCATGGGTCCTGAACTCTGGGCCTGGGTGCTGTCCCTCAGCTCTTCAGCTCAAGGCTAGCGCTCTACCACTTGAGCCACAGTGCCACTTTCGGCTTTTTTCGTTTTGCTTATGTGGTGCTGAGGAGTCGAACCCAGAGTCTCATGCATGCAAGGCAAGCACTCTACCACTGAGCAACCTTCCCAGCCTTGAAATTCTTCCTTTTTTCTTCCTGACTCCAAAATTTCCTAAAGTTTTTCCATGGTTTCTAATGGAACATTATTCCATGATTGACTGAGACAAACTCAACATTCCCTTTAGAGAGCTAAGAAATCAATCTACTAGTTAGCATGGAATATAAGACTAATTGGTTACTCTTTCTGACAACTTCCATTTTAATGAACACATAATTGGAAGTAAGAGGAAATATTTAATTAAATTCTGTGCTTTGCAACCTGGCTTTCTATCATGCTTAATTCTTATTAAAAAAAATGAAATCAGGTGTTCAAAAATGGGGGTTTCCCTTCTGTTGAGTTGTATTGTCTATCCAGAAATGATATCAGGTAGCATGTTTTGTCATTAATTTCAAAACTTGATTACATTTTTTAGTAAGTTAACTTCAAAAAGCTCTAGCCTATCTTCAAACTCCTAATAATTTACTGACTTATCCATGGATTATAGCCTTTTCAAACCCATTGAATCTCTAAAATCTATAAAATCAGTGGAAACAAACTAATTTCATTTTAGCACTACCTTATTTTCAGTAATATTCTAATTCTAGTATAATTTTATAATTACAGTCTTGCTTTCTAATAAGTTATCAAGGATGAGAAGAAAGTTTTTACCTTAATTTCATTCAAGTGAAATCAACAGGAAAAGAAGGGCATACCTTTCTAGAGAAATAACAGCTTCAAAGTCACAAATTGCCAAGTTCCAAAGTTTCAAATGTGAATACAGTATGCCCCGATGTAGAAAACACCCAAGATTCTCATAGCCATCATTTAAGAGAACTTAAAAACAAAAGTAAGTACCTCAGTCAGTTTCTGAACATTATCTGTCATATTGATACCTTTCCTATTATATATTTTTATTTGCTTAATGTTATGTAAAACAAAGCATGCCTATTATGAGGGTAACTACTTGGTGGATATAAAAACATATCATATGGCTTGGCACTAGTGGCTCATGCCTGTAATCCTAGCTACTCAGAGAACTGAGATTGAGGATCTGAAGATCACTGTTCAAAGCCAGGCAGGGCCACAAGGTCTGTGAGACTCTTATCTCCAATTAACCACCAAAAAGCTTGAAGTGGATCTGTGGCTCAAATGGTAAAGCACTAGCTTTGAGCAAAAGATCTCAGGAACTCTGTTCAAGCCTCAGGTCTTCTGGCATATATATATATATATATATATATATATATATATATATACATATATATATATACATATATATATATACATATATATATGTATATATGTGTGTGTGTGTATCACATACACACACATATTTGTAATAACACCCTTTACCACTCAACCACAAGTAGACATGTGTGTGTGTGTATCACATACACACACATATTTGTAATAACACCCTTTACCACTCAACCACAAGTAGACTTTCATATTAATATTTAAATGTTAACTGAGATATTCTTTTTTTTTTGTCCATGTGGGGCCTGAACTCTGGGCCTGGGCTCTGTCCCTCAGCTCTTCAACTCAAGGCTAGCACTCTACCACTTGAGCCACAGCACCACTTCTTGTTTTTTCTGCTTATGTGGTGCTGAGGAATCGAGCCCAGGGCCTCATGCATGCAAGGCAAGCACTCTACCACTGAGCCACCTTCCCAGCCCCTTAACTGAGATATTCTATATGTGCATTTAGAAAGTTCCTGTCAGGTAGCTAATTGCCTAATAAATATCATATATGATCATCATCATCATCATCATCATTATATATATGTATATAATATATGTATACGTATATTGTATGTCTAAATTTATTCATTAATTCATAATGATGTGGCTATTATAGTTGACAAATTCATTAGATCTGAAAGAAATACTAATGACAATATATGGTAATTCTCTCACTTTACATATGGCCCAAACATTGACCAGGATTAGAATGCAAGTCAGGGCAGAGATGGGACTAGAAGCCAGTTCCTGTGGTGCCAATATTGGTGATATTGGTGCTACCCTGTTATAATTGCCAAGACTCCTTTACCAACCATCAGACTCAAATACTGGTCTAGATCATGGTATATATCTGAAGTCAGACCTACCCATAAGCCATGATAAGCAGCTGCAAAGAGGCTACTCCAAAGCAAGTAGAACTTATAATTGACTCAGCTAGAGCTACTAGAGCAAGGAATAAAGAGAACTTCCTGTCAGTGCTCGAGATGTGGAACTCTCTTCAATATTCAGCCACAAGTCACCTATGGCTCCTGCTACTTTCAGAAACATGCTAGTGATTTAGACAGGTTTGACATAGATTTGATGCATATCTGCTGAGCATCTCAAACTCACTCTGATTTAGAAGGAAAACTTCTGCCAAAAATATTTACAATGTTGCACACAAATATTCTCAGTACTGGATTTGGAGAAGTATAAAGAGTGTGAGCAATTGCCCATAAATAATCATTTGAAAGCAAGTCACCAGCTCAATTCATAATATTGTTTGTCAGCAAGGGAAAAGTTAACTGCTATGTTGCTCTGGAAAAGTGAAAAAACATTATTCTTTTTTTGGGGGGGGAGGGGTCCAGTCGTGGGGCCTGAACTCTGGGCCTGGGAGCTGTCCCTCAGCTCTTCAGCTCAAGGCTAGCACTCTACCACTTGAGCCACAGTGCCACTTCCGGCTTTTTTCTTTTTGCTTATGTGGTGCTGAGGAATCGAACCCAGGGCCTCATGCATGCAAGGCAAGCGCTCTACCACTGAGCCACCTTCCCAGCCCCAAGAGGAAAATTTTTGAGAAAAGATTATAGAAGACCAGAAAGAAAGGCAGCTAGGCTGATAAAGCAAGATAAAACAACAGAGGTCTCCAAATTTAAGTTGTTTGTGCTACATTTATTCTCTCAACCTCAAATATTCATTAACAAGAGTACTACCCAAAATATGTGACATTGAGGAATGAAGGAACTATCTGGGATTAAACAAAGCAGAGGAAACACTAGCTACAAGGATCACACAGGCATGAATGGGTCAGCAAAGACAGAGAGTCAACCATGGACAAAAGTGAGAATGAAGTAGCAATCTTCAATCCTCTTTTCCAAGAAACCTTAGAAGTAGAGGGCACAAAACTCCTCTCAGCACAAGTAAAACAACTGTTTTATTAACAACCGTTGTTTTAACAATTCAAATTAGGATTGTTTTATCTAAATATGAATGGACAGGCAACCTCAGAAGACACATGATTTAGAGACAGTTAAGCAATAGTCACTTTTAATTTTCTTCCCTGTCGGAGTCTGGTTGTCTCTTAATCTTTAAAACTTTGCAATCCGATGAATATAGTCATGTTTAGAACTCCAGGTTCTAGCTGGATTTTATTAACCAAAATAGGCTTACTTATTCTATTGCAGATTGTTTACTGGGCACCTACTTGAGGCCAAAAATGTTATATATTTTATATGTGTTACACATATAATCTAAACCAGTAATGCATTGAGGGTACAATATAAGTAGCCTTTTGTTGTTAGCCTCTTATAACTGCAAAGAATTCCAAAACCTGTTCTTAAAGAGTTAAAAATTGTAAATCTGACAAATGTATGGGTTTAGCTTTGGAATGGGGATATCACAAAACAGAATGATTTAATATCATTTTAACAAGCTAATGAGGAAATAGAACTGAGATTCCAGAATAGCTCTCTAGAACTCAATTTATAGATACACACTCTATTTGATATGATAGTCTCTCCTGGCCATAACTGAAAACACACATAAACACACATATACCCAAATGTACCCAAATCCATATTCACATTCAGTAAAAAGGCATGTTAGAATGCTTGTAGATCAGCCATTGTTACTTATAAACGTACATGGATATACTACATATATGCAAATATACATATAATACATTTATTACATTAGTGATCAAACAGGATTACCCTCTAGGATACTGAGCTTCTGAACCAGATTAGATTCTTATATATGTATAGTTAAAGAAAAAATACCTGAAATGCTGTAGTCCTGCAGGGCTCTGGAAATATTAGTTGTTCTAAACAAGCAAGCTCGATAATAAAATGCTAACCAATTATTGGGATCTAAGTGGATAGCAGCAGATAAGTCTTGGGCTGCTAGTCTATAAAGCTGCCTTTTAAAATATGATCTCCCCCGGTATGTCCTAGAAAAAAAAATTGACTTTAACATGTATTTTTAAAAAATATTGTCTCTTTTCATTATATCTATTCACCCATTTATTCATTACTATCTTTAGTTGTACAAAGAAGATAAACTCAATATGTCAATTCATGTCAAAAATTCTACAATGAAAACTATAAAATTTTAAAGAAGGAAATTACAGAAGCAAAAATCAATGATGTAAAAATGGCTATACTACCAAAAGCAATCTACAGGTCTAACACAATCCCTATAGAATTCCCAACAATGTTATTAACAGAAAGAGAAAAATCAATCCATAAATTCAAATAGAAATACAAAGGACCCTGGAAAGCCAAAGCAACTTTGAGAAAAACAAAAACAAAATGTTTGAGGTATGATACATGAGACTACCAGATTTCAAATTATTCTATAAAGCCATAGTACTGACACAAAAGCAGACCACTGGAACAAAATAAAAAGCACAGAAATAAATCCACACAGCTATGGCCATCTAATTTAACAATGGAGTGCAAAACGGGGCACGTCTGTTAGAGAAAAGACAACCTCTTCAAAAAATGCTGCTGGAAAAACTAGATAACCACAAGCAAAAGTCTGAAAATAAATCTCTGTCCCACATCATGTGCTAATATCAATGTCAGTTCAAAGTGGATCAAAGATCTTAATGTGAGACCTGAAACTGTGAAACCACTATAACAATCATAAAGAAAACACTAGAACAATACTGGCATAGGCAGGAGCCTCCTAAATAGGACTCCACTAGCTCAGCAAATAAGAGCAAGGACTGACAAATGGAATTGCATCAAACTAAAAAGCTTCTGCAAAGCAAAAGAACTATCACTAGAATGGAGAGTCTCCAGAATGAAAAAAAATCATTACAGGCTATACACCTTAAGTCTGGTAGCCTAGTATTGTAATACCTCCATCCAGTACTTTGTTTTTGTTTTTGTATGACTGGAATATACAAGAAGCTCAAAACACTAATCTATCAAAGAATCAAACAAACCAACTAATAAATGGCAAATGAACTGATAATTCTCTAAAGAATAAGTTTAGATGGCCAATAAATCTCAGTCACATCATTTATTGACAACCAAGCTAACAGAACAGGGACTTGAGTGACCATGCATAACAAAGAACAGGTTTCTCAAACTTAGCTCAGAAAAGTCACTAAAGAATTATCTATAACTAAAACTGTACTATATAAAACTATATATATATATACATATATATATATATATATATAAAACTAAATTCTGGGAAGTGGGGTGCATCAATATCCAAATGCTACATTATTATACTAATCAAAATATCTAATTTAAAAAATAACAATTAATACAAAGAAACACAAACATAGGGCTCATTCTTACAATGAAATTAATAGAAACTAGCCCCTCCCCCTGAGGAATCTTAAACATTGGACTAACTAGATTACAGTCTTTATATTAGCTATCTTAAATATTCTCAAAAATCTAAAAGAACGCACTAGACAAAAATCTCAAAGATATTAGAAAATTTATCACTTAACACAGAAAATAATTATAGTGCTTGATAAATTGATAGTAATTAATACAGAAGCTATAAAATGGAAAGAGAAAATCATGAAGTTGAAAATTATAATCACCAAAAGGAAAAGTTCACTAGAGTTGCAACAAGATTTGAACAGAAAATACTAAAGATCTAGAGATCTTGAAGACATGCCAGTTGAGATTATCTAATTGAAAAGAAAAAAGTGAAAAACAAATAAATACAAGACTAACATAGCTACAGAATATAGAATATCATCAAGCTTATTAACATATATATAGTGAATCCTGGTGAAGGGTAAATACAGAGAAAAGAAAATAGTACTTTTTAAATGATGAGTGAAAACTGCCTAAATTTGATGAAAGAAATGAAGCTACACATCCAAGACACTTAAAAGATTCTAAGTAAGACAATTTCAAAAAAGTTCCACAAAAAAGAGATGCATTATAATTAATCTACTAAAAGCCAAGATACAAAAGCAACAATAGAGAAATTATTCATTACGGATAGGATTTTCAAAAAAATGACATTTTTAAATTTTTTTGTCAAGGTGATGTACAGAGGGGTTACAGTTACATAAGTAAGGTAGTGAGTACATTTCTTGTCTTACTTGTTACCCCTTCCCTCATTTTTCTCCCTTTCCCTCCCTCTCAATCCCCGCCCCAAGTTCTACAGATCATTTCCAACATACTGTCATGTGAGTATCACTGTTGCATAGGTTCTCCTTTGTCCTTTGTCTCACCCATTTTGTTGTTCCTTTCCCTTCCTTAGTTCAGATAAACATATATACAATACACAGGGTACCAAAATAGAATTCAATGACAACAGGGATAAACCATAGGGGGGAAAACACAAAAGAAAAAGAAATCATGTAGTACATTGAGAACAACAACAAAGAAAAACCTCTTGTGTCCATGTCTTGAAGTTCATTTTGCTTAGCATCATCTTTTATGGTCATTTGTACATACCTACTGAGCTATTCTTCCCATCTGCTAAGATTATCCTAGATGTAGTCAAGGGTGCCAAATGTAGTGAGCAGCATATTTAATGTGCTAACAGAAGAAAAATCGTCAGCCAAGAATTCTGTACCTAGAAAACTGTCCTTCAAAATTGAAGGAGAAATCAAAGCATTCTTAAGAGAACAAAAACTAGAGTAACACTGATAGTAGAACTGCTTTATAAGAAATACTAAAATGAGTATCTGAAGCTGAAATAGAAGGCATTAGAAAAGTAGCTCGAGACCATATAAAGAAATATAAAATATAAAAAGGCCATCTATAAAGGTAACAAACAAGCAAATTAAAAAAAATTATTACATTTTTTGTTTTCAATTCTTTTTTCCTATGTGGTTCAATACAAACACAAATAATACAGTTATTACATTAATAGGCATAAATGTATAAATCACATAATTACAACTCATTATATACTATGTATATGTATGCTTATTTATATGAATAATACAAACAATTATGTTAACAACATAGATAATTCAAAGCACATGGATTACAAAATAATCCATGTTAACATTTAATGGATATTTTCACAGTATTAAGAGGTAGGTCTGCAAATGCTGAAATAAGGACACAGGATGACCCATTGCAACAATGATGCTCACAAGACATTATTATGGAAATGAACTTTACAACATCAATGGGGGTGAGTAGGGGAGGTGGGGGTGGGAAGGGATAGTAGGAGAAAAGCAAAGGAGGGGGGTAACAATGCTCAACAAATAATATACTCACTGCCTTACTCATGTAACTGTAACCCCTCTGTACAGCATCTTTACAATCATTTTTTTTAAAAAGAGGTGGGTCTGTAAGTGATTAAAACATAAAGACTCCACATTCATGGTTGGGATTGATGCCATTACAACAGAACATTTCTCACATTTTCCCTCTGCTATATATAGGATGCTTCTCACCCTGGAATGATGTAGCAAGAAGACTCTCCACAGATAGTGGAGTCTTCATTTAGGGATTTGTCAGTCTCTAGAATTATAATGCTCAGAACATTTTGGGTCTGAGAAGGTGGCTCAGTGGTAGAGTGCTTGCCTTGCATGCATGAGGCCCTGGGTTCGATTCCTCAGCACCACATAAGCAGAAAAAGCCGGAAGTGGGACTGAGGCTCAAGTGGTAGAGCGCTAGCCTTGAGATGAAGAGCTGAGGGACAGTGTCTAGGCCCAGAGTTCAGGCCCCACAACCAGAAAAAAAAAGAACATTTTATAATTATAAATTCTCAGTTTCAGATATTCTGTTACAGCAGTACAAAAAGGACTAAGACAATAATCTAAACAAAATCAACAACTTCTGAGGAACATACACTGCCAAGAATTACTCAAAAAGAAATAGACTGTAATAGACCAGCAACTGTCACTCTACCTGTAATCCTACCTACTCAGGAGAGGCTGAGATCCAGAAGATCAGAGTGCAAGGCCAGCCAGGACAGAAAAGTCCACAAGATTCCATCTCAAAAAGAGTCAGTAAGGGGATGGGAAGGTGGCTCAGTGGTAGAGTGCTTGTCTTGCAATCATGAGGCCCTGGGTTCCATTTCTCAGCACCACATAAGCAGAAAAAGTCAGAAGTGGTTCTATGGCTCACGTGGTAGAGTGCTAGCCTTCAGCTGAAGAGCTGAGGGAGAGCACCCAGGCCCAGAGTTCAGGCCCCACAACCGACCAAAAAAAAAAAAAAAAGAGTCAGTAAAAAAAAAAAAAGCTGACTAAAACCTCCATATTAGGAAAAAAAGGATCACTTTCATAAATACCTGCAATAAAAATCTATAAAATATCATGAAAAAAATCTGTTTCATAAAAGAAAATGCCATGCTTGTTTTTTTCTCACTGGGACTTACCCCCAGTGCTGAGATTGTCAGAGGTTCTCTATCTGGGAAAAGTCATCCCTAATTTGCAATACACATCAAAAGAAAGTCTTATGGATTATAATTTGAAATTAAAAATATTAAACTTTCAAACAACTCTATGTATCTTTAAAGGGAAATATTAATCTGATCTCAAAATGGAGATTGGTTTTCTAAACTCAAAAGAAGAAGTATCACAAATTTGGCTGGATTAACATGTTTAAGTCTTTATATTTAAATATAAACATTCCCCACTTCCTCCTTAATAGTCATCTTTCTTATTTTAATAACAGCCATTCTAATATCAAAACAAAGTGTGAGATGACATACCAATGTAGTTTTAATTTGCATTTCCATGACTATTTGTGAAATGGAGATTTTTTTTCATATGTCTCTAGGCCATTTGTATGTCGTCAGTTGAGAAATATGTATTTAGGTGCTGTGCCCATTTTTTAAGTCAGCTTAATTTGTTTTCTTACTGTTGAGTTGTTTAAGTTCCTTATATATTTTGGATATTAGCCCCTTATGAGATGTAGGATCTGTAAATATTGTCTCGCAGTTTGTGTCATAGATACACAATGGAATGCTCAACTGAAGCTTACCAAAGAAAGAAAGGTTGTCACTTGTGACAGCACGCAGCCTGGATGAAACTGGCAGATGCTATGCTCAGTGACAAAAGCCAGGCCCTGAGAGGCCAGCACTGCATGACTGCACTGACACCTGGGATCTAAAAAGTCGAACTCACGGAAGTAGAGCTGCTAGAGACGGTGTGGCCACATGATGGAAAGGGAAGATGCCCAAGAGCACAAGGTTTCAGTCAGACAGAAAAAAAATAAGTGTTTAGTGATCTTTTACATCACCTGTAAAATACACAATTCAACTATGCATTATATATGTCCTAATTGCCAAAAGAATATAGCTTCAATAGTCTCACCACTGAGAAATAAGAATGTGAGATGGGTGAGTGAATTAGTTTGATTTTACCCATCCAATGAATTGCTATGATGTCATATTGTACCACAAATATATGCAACTATAATCTAAAAATTAAAAATGAATGTAAATTATGTTAAAAATATATAACATAAACACACATTTTAGTGAGCCTGGACAAATGTATGAATAAAGTGTACATATAAATTGATGATATGCAAATTAAAACTTGCAGAGACAAGACCAAGAAGGAAAAAATTCTAAGTCAATGAAATTCAAATTAACATAATGTATAAAAGAGTTCTGATTTATTAGACTGACTAAAATTTGAAACAATTTTTTGGCAGTGCTGGCACTGGGGCTTGAACTCAGGGCTTCAATGTTGTTCTTAACTTTTTTACCCAAATCTGGTGTTCTACCACTTGAGCCACATCTCCATGTCCAACTTTTTGGTGGTTAATTGGAGATAAGAGTCTGAAGAATAGGAAAAGCTATTTGTCATAACTATGACGACTAAAGTGTTCATATTGACAATAGACATGAATTTGGGACTTGGCATGATGACATATGCCTGTAATTCCAGCTACTTCAGAGGCAGACACAGGAGGGTTGGGGGTGGGGTATAGATACCTTCCCTGAAAAACACAACCAAAAGCAATATGACTGAGAGTGGGCCTCAAATAGTAGAACCCTTCACTAGTAAGCAGAAAATCCTAACTTCAAGCTCTAGAACAGAGAGAGAGAGAGAGAGAGAGAGAGAGAGAATATGAGCTTACAAATTAACAGCAAAACAATACATACATACATACATACATACATACATACATACATACATACAAAAACTCCAAGAGATTAGAATGACAAAAGAAAGAAAACTTAAATGGTTGATTTATGGGAAGACACATAATCCTGTTAGGAATGAAGGAAATGGAAAGGAAAATCTAGTAGGATCACACTTCCATGCCTGTGAAGATGGCTTAAACCTGAAAGCCAGCTAGCAATACTTAATGCTTGTGCAGAACTCACATAAACAGCTAGTAATACAACCGCTCTGGAAATCAGCTGGGTCTCAGCACTGCATACTTGCATGCACTATGAACCTGATACTTTGCACCCACATAAATGTGTAGAAAGATATCCAAGAAACAATATGCCTAATGGAAAACTGAGAACACTCAAACATCCATCCATAGCAGGAGTACGTTCTAACATATGGACACTAGAACCACATGCCACAGTGCACAATATAGAGCAAAAGCCGTACATGAGATAATACCGTGTGATTCCATATATATAAAGTTCAAAACATGGGCATACCTAAACTAACAATGTGTAGAGACACTGTACTATAACTATAAAGAACTACAAGGTAGTGACCAAAATGTAAAGATAACATTTACCACCACTTCCCCTTCCAGGGGATGCACATACAAAAAAGTTCCAGACTGCTGGAAAAGGTAGTTGACAGTTACAGTTATATTGTAGTAAGATTAGATTTCCCATTTCCAAATTGTGTAGTTTCCTAATTGCATGCATTATCTTTACTATAAAAATAGTTTGCAATTAAAACTTGCAGATAGAGGGTCAAGTGTGGTATACATCAGAATTCTCAGCTATTGTGGAAGTAGAGATAGGAGTGTGGTAGTTTGAAGCTAACCCAGGCATGAGATAGTAAGACCCTATTTCCAAAAACAAGCTGCACATTGTGGTTCACACCTGTATATTCAGCTAATCAGGAAACAGAAGTAGGAGAATTGTGGGCTAAGACTGGCATTGGCAAAAGTGAGATCTCATCTGTGCCTCTCAGACATTTTGTTTTTAGTTAGTTTCTCAGAGAGGATTTGTTTAACTCTCCTCCACACCAGGTTGGTCTGGAATTCCCAACCCTCCAATCTCTGCCCCTCAAGTAGTTGGGATTACAAGGCTGAGAACATGGCTCAAGTGTTACTGTGCTTGACTAGCAAGTACAAGGCCTTAATCAAATTCAAAGGCCAGAACTGTCAAAAAAAATTCTTGAATTGGATACGAATCAGGGCTACATAGTGAAACTTGGTCTCAAAAAGTTACAAGTCATGGGCTGAGAATGTGGCTTAACCTTGCTTGCTTAACACTCATGAAGTCCTGAGTTCGATTCCACAGTAACACATAAACAAAACAAACAAGCAAAAAGAAGCCAGAAGTGGTGCTGTGGTGCAAGTGGTAGAGTAATAGCCTTGAGCACAAAATTTCAATGACAGTGCCTAGGCCCTGAGTTCAAGCCACAGCTCTGGCAAAAAGAAAAAAAAGTTAAAAGTGAGCTGGGAAAGAGTAGCTCACACCTTTCATCCTAGCTACTCAAGAGGCTGAGATTCAAGGATCTCAGTTCAAAGTCACCCCAGGCAGTAATGTCCATGAATCTCTTGTCTCTAATTAATTATCAACAAAATATAAAAAGCACCAGGAGAGATGTGTCTCTAGTAGTAGAATGCTAGCCTCGAGCACAAAAACTTAGTAACAGTGCCCAGACTCTGAGTTCAAGCCTCTACCAAAATAAAAGTCACAAGTGAAAAGATGAGTAGGCCTAACATTTTAAATCTCTAAAATAAACCTTAGATTGGAAGGAAAACCACAAAGCATGACATTTACTGGAAGTATAAATTCAATATACAAGTCAGAGAAAGGTGTTACAGAAACATATGTGAACAGATCTTCATATTCAATGGATACAAAAGGTATGTATGTAAAAGAAACTTAAAGAAAAAATATAGATGGTAGACTATGTGTTACATGTGTATACTATAGCCAGAATTTAGGAAATGAAAATTGAATAACTCTTAATTATTATGTATGTTTGTTAAACAACCTACTCCCATTACAGTATGAGTAAAGATTTTCATTCACAGGTATCTCTAAAAAGGAATTCATTATTTTTAAAAGGCTATTAAATGTATTTCAAACAATCTTTCCTGAAAATGCATTTCAAATAAAAGCATTTTTAAAACACTTTAAAATCCTTCTTACCTTGCTTGTGCACTGAGGTGATTTATATTTAACAAAGATGTAAAATCCTGTATAGCTGATGTCCAGTTCTCATTTTCAAAGTGAAACAGCCCCCGTTTCAATAACGCATCGGTTCTTTTAGGGTCACAAGCAATACACTACAGGGGTGCAGGGAGATAGATACACAGGTCAAGGAATGAAAGCACCCTATGAAAAGTATATAATCACATAGTAACTTCAAATTACAAACAAGCAAACCACGTTAAGATTCCAAATTTTGTTTAAAGGATCTTATTTAAAAATCTATTCATCATCAAATTTTGTTGTAGTTACTCTGTGTGTGTGTGTGTGTGTGTGTGTGTGTATGCGCATGAGTGTGTGTGTGTGTGTGTGTGTGTGTGTGTGTAAAGGGGCTTGAACTCGGGGCCTCATGATCTTGCTTTTGGTGTTCTACCACATAAGCCACAACTCTACTTCCAAGTCTTAAGTGGAAATAAGAGTATCACAGACTTTTCTGCCCAGGCTGGCTTCAAACTATAGCCCTGAGATCTCAGCCTCCTGAACAGCTTGGATTATAGGCACAAGAAGCCAAGGATTTCATTCATAAGGAAAAGAAATGAATTGGTGGTGACACAATTCATCCATTTGATGCTGACATACAGAGCCATACAGTGAACAGGCCACATCCTATGTTCATTTGTAAAGTTTCTTGCTAATTGGGACTGGCATAATTTAAAACATACAAAAAAAAAAAAAGACTACAGAGTTTGAAATTTGTTTCACCTTGTCCATTTTTTCTACTATGGGTGTCAGGCAGAGAAAATAATTTTTGTATCTACAAAAGAGAATTTTTTATCACTTGTAGACCAGAAATTACAAGGCTTGTAACAATATCAACTCAGTAGCTAAGCCATAATGGATGGATTAGGAAGACAGGGCAGCTAGGAACATGGAAAGTTAATTAATTAAATGATTGTTCCTAAATTCTCATTTCTGGAGTCAGAACTGTGGCATGGCTACAGGGAAAGAGCACTTGTCCAGCATGCACAAGGGCAGGCTCCATCCTAGCACACATCAGGAGAGCAGAGTTAACATGTTCTGCCACATTTGGGGAATATTTTGCCTTGTCTCTAGCCTCTTATTATAGTCTAACTACAAGTTATCTTACTTAATGACATTTCTTGATACCACAGATATAAACACTTTCAGTATTCTTATTTCCTTCCCAACACCATTATAATTATATGTATATATTTTTTGTATCTGCCCTTAAGTATTTGATCTTTTGGGGTTTTTTTTTTGGGGGGGGTCCGGTCGTGGGGCCTGAACTCTGGGCCTGGGCACTGTTCCTCAGCTCTTCAGCTCAAGGCTAGCGCTCTACCACTTGAGCCACAGCACCACTTCTGGCTTTCTTCTTTTTGCTTATGTGGTGCTGAGGAATTGAACCCAGGGCCTCAGGCATGCAAGACAAGCCCTCTACCACCGAGCCACTTCCCAGCCCTAAGTATTTGATCTTTAAACAATGAGTTCAATATAGTGTATTCATTCATCATTTCTAATCCACTCTATGTACTACTTTGGTCAATAAAATTTGTGATTGAATGAATGAATGAGTGAATAAATGAAAGAAGGTTCCTCAAAGACAGCATCATCTAGTCAAGAGTTTCAAGGTAGAAATTAATTTCTCAGTTGTCTGAAGGAAAGAAGCAATTTTCAAAGGCTTCTCTTTTTTCTGCGTCTATGTCTGTATGCACACACAACGGTACTGGGGTTGGGCCTCAGGGCCTGGACACTATCCTATAGCTTTTCCATTCAAGGATGATGGTCTGCCCCTTCAGCCACAGCTCCATTTTCAGAGTTTTTTACTGGCTAATTGGAGATAAGAGTCTCAGACTTTCCTGCCCAGGCTGACTTCAAAACACAATCCTCAGATCTCAGTCTCCTGAATAGCTAGGATTATAAGCATGAGCCACTTCTTGAATCACAATTTTCTAGTTCAAGAGGAGAGAAAAGAAAAAGTCAGGTCCTCTCCCCATCCCACAAATTAGTTCAGTGTCCCTCATGCTCCGACATGAAGCCATTTACTCAACAATCATTTTTTAAATATCATTGAAGCCATGTTAATATCAATACTCATAGTGAAGTTCTAGATCCTAACCTAAAATGAATTTTTATTACATAAAATATATGAAAATGTTTTTAAGAACAAAGTCATCAATGGCAGCATTTCCTGTGCTAGCACTTACTTTGGAATAGTCATCCATGGCCAGCACTCTATTTGTCTTTTCATATACTACACCCCTTCTGAAGTATATCTCAGCATCTGTGGGTTTGCATTTGATTGCCTGGGTGTAATTTAGAATTGCCAGAGTCATGTCATTTTTTCCCTTGAAAATTTCTGCCTTTGACAAATACGCTTCTAAAGGAAATTAAAAGGTAAAATTCAATGCTTCCATCCTTTCATTAACTATAAAAAATGCAAAATATCAATGCTTCTCCCCCAAGAAATATACCTGAAAAACAATTTTCCCAATAATGGCTATTCTAACAGGGGTGAGGTGGAATTTCAATATTGTTTTGATTTGCATTTCTTTTATGGCCAGAGATGTTGAGCATTTCTTCATATGTCTATTGGTCATTTTTTATTTCTTCCTCAGAGAAGTGCTTTTTAAGTCTTTAGCCCACGTATCAGTGGGGTTGTTCTTTCTTTGAGGATTTGTTTATGGGGGGTTTAATCTTTTGAGCTCTTAAGTGAATTTTAGAAAGGAGGCCCTATCTGGGTTTTTTTTTGTCATTTTTTTATTGTGAAAATATTGTACAGAGGGGTTACAATTACATGGGCAAGATAATGAGTTTATTTCTTATCAAGCATTTTAGACTCCTCCTTTGTTTCCCCTTCCCATCTTTTCCCATCCTTCCCTGCCCCACCCTGTCTGTTTTATACCTAGTAAGGATCTTCTCCCCATCTGTGGGCTTTCTACTTATCTTGCTAGCTATGTCTTTTACCACACAGAAGTTCTGAAGTTTAACACAATCCCATTTATCCAGCTGTTCTTTGATTTGTTGTGTTTCATTGTCAAGAAAACTAATAATAATGGATGCTGGTGGGGATGTAGCCAAAGGGGAATGCCACTACACTGTTAGTTGGAATATAAACTTGTTCAACCACTGTGGAAAGCAGTATGTAAATTCCTCAAAAAACTAAACATAGAGCTCCCCTATGACTCAGCAATCCCACTTCTGGGCATTTACCTAATTGACCACAAATAAGACCACACTAAAGTTACCAATAACCATGTTCACTGCAGCATTATTTATCATAGCTAAGATATGGAACCAAACCATATGCCCCTCAGTAGATGAATGGATCAAGAAAATGTGATATATATACACAATGGAATTCTATGCTTCCAACAGAAAGAATAGCATTTCCCCATTTGTAAGGAATTTGAAAGACTTGGAAAAAACTATTAAGCAAAGCAAGCCAGACCCAAAGAAACACAAGCTATATGGTGTCCCTCATTTGTAATACCTAGAATATATCTATGATATTCTTAGCGGAAGATCACAATAGTTCAATAGCTAGGTGCGCATGACAACATACAATGAAGCTTATCAAAATGAACTAAAAGACATGGAAACAAGAGGTTTTTATAATGTACTGGTTGCATTTATTTCTTTTTTCTTTCTTTTTCTCCTTTGGTTTATGCCCTGTTGTCACTGTTTTTTTATTTCTGTGCCCTTTGTCTTGTATATAAGTTTATCTGATTTGTGAAAGGGAGAGGGAATCACAGAAGTGGCAGGACAAAGGGTGAACCAATGCAACAGTGATACTCACTAGATGCTATGTTGGAAATAAACTTTACAAAATGGGGAGGTAGTCGAATGGGGGAAACAGGAGGAAATAAGAAAGGAGTAACACTGTTCAAAAAGAAATGTGCTCACATATTGTTACATACCTTGAAGATGTAACAGTAACTCCTCTGTACATCATCATTACAATAAAAAAGAAAATTATTTTCCCTATTATATTTTCTTAATCATTTTTTAAATTTTCCAGCAATATCAAATTTGGTTCTATCAACTGGCTAAAATATTCATTTGTGATTACAAAAATTCTGAATTTGAAGTGACAAAAGTTGTCTTTTACTTTCATGTATATCTAAAATGTTTCACAGTTTTTTTAATGACCACAGTAAAAATCTAGGTGTTTATTGAGGGGATTGGTTGTGAGGTACTGTGGTTGAACTCAGAGGCTCACTCTTGCTAGGCAGGTACTCTACCACTGAAACCATGCCAATGGCCTCATTGTGTATTGGGTTTTTTTGACATAGGGTCTTGCTTTCTGACTAGCTTGTACTAGAATACGATCTGCCCATTTTTGCTTCTTCTCATAGCTAAAAAAAAAAGGCACCACCTCATCCAATAGCCCTCTGCTATAATCGTTCAGACTCAGGCCTGAAACTATAAACCTCTCTGAAACTGAAATTCAGTTTGGGATGACAGGTACATACTACTTAACCCAGCTATTGTTAGAAAAAGATCTCATAAAGTTTTTTTTCCACGAAGATCTTGAACCACAATCCTGCTATTCTGAGCCTCCCACACAGCTAGAATTATGGGCATGAGCTTTCAGAGCCTGGTCAAAGTCAGGTTTTGAACACACAAAATGTTATGGACCTTTAACTGATTGATACTAACTAGTACAGGCCAAAAAAAAAATCTTTTAGGAAGCTCATGTTATATATTTGGTGGATGTGCTGTGAATATTGGGAATATGAAGATGGTATGATATTTTTGCATTCCTAGGAAGTCCATGTCAAGAAAAGATTGGTGAATTACCTCTAAAACCAAAACTTGTGAGATGAACATTAAAAAATGAGTTTTATCTTAGGTATGTCAAGGGACATGAACATTTCAAACCATAATGAGTATCTTAAAAGCAATCTATACTCACTAGACATTGTTGAAAATGAAATATACAACTTGTTTGAGGGGATGGGAGGGAAAAACTGAGAGAGTGCAAAGGAAAGGGTGACATTGTCCAAAAAGAAATTCACTCTTTATCTGACTTATGTAAGTGTAACCCCTCTGTATATCAACTTTATAATTTTTTAAAAAGCAATCAAAAATTGTATGAGCTTACCACATAAAGAGTAAAATATTTAACTGAGTTAAAAGACACAATTATTTTTTCAGAACTTCCATCTTTTGATTTCTATTTCTAATACTCTTTCAGCTCTTGATTTATGTGCATTTATAATAACAATGATAAAAGCTGAGATAAGGATCCAAAGGAAGATGGAGGAAGAGAAGCTGGGAGCTAAACAAGCTCTTGAATACAAAACAGTTTTAGTGTTCCAGTGAAAAGTCTTAGGCTAGAGAGTCACACCAAGTGTGCCATCATAGTACAGAGAGTTTGGCCAGAGAGGAAAAATCCAGGCAGCTTGGTTAAGGAGACAGATTTGAGCACTTGCTGGTGTCCATGGCAGCAGTGGTGGCAATGGCTGCTGCTGCAGCCGCCATATCAACAGAGAAGAACCCAGGACAAAGGTGCCAGAGGCAGTGTGTGAGCAGATTCTACTCACCACCAGCAAGAACTGACAAGGAGTGGAAATCTTCATCCTGCTGACCACAGATAGTCACAGACTGTGGACAGCCCAGAAACCAAGGGATAGGCATGACTACTCCAAAACATCCTCACTCCTTCTCACAGAGCAGCAGTTGGAAAGTAGCCCCTTCCACACAACCAGAGAAGAACTCCATCTTTGATACTGACAAAGACTTGGCCAGAGCAGCTAGCATGTAACTCAGGCCTTCAAGAAGACAATAGGAGTTAATGAGATGTACATGTCACTATATCAAAAAACAAACTTTACAACTTTGGTGGGGGGGGGGGATGGTGGGAGATAGGAAGGGGAAACAAAGGAGGAGGCAACAATGCTTGATAAGAAATGTACTCATTATCTTGCCCATGTAATTGTAACTCCTCTGTATGGTATTTTCACAATTAAAAAAAAATAAAAGACAATAGGAGCCATTCAACAGGTCACAGGAACCTGACCTGCCCAGTTCAGCTCCACCCAGAGGAAAGTTGCCCTTCCCAAGCAAAGGAAACTCCACCCGATGAGGAGTGACTTTCTTCATTGGGTAAACAGAGCCAGAGGCTGCCCCTCTCCACTGCAGCACAGGCAGCAGACCCAGCAGCAGGAGGGTAAAAGAAAAACAATTGAAACTAGTAAACATAAATCCTGAGAATGGCTCCAGGATGGGCTCAGAGAGTGTCTCAGGAGCTAGCCCCTCAGGGTAAAGCTACTGATTGCTGACAGGCCTCAATCCTACCCACAACCTAGCCCCATCACAGCAACTCCAAGCTAGAGGAAACAGTCATTTTCCTCTATTGTAACACTCAAAGTAGATCTTCCTCCAACTGAACTACCCTGGGAGGAGGGTCATAATGTTCCAGGAACAGCATAGCTTCTTTCTGCCTGCTCAAACAGACTTAAGAAACCAATCAAGACACAGGAAAACCAAACAGCACAAGCAAACCAGAGACTCCACCAAGAGACGGGTTACAGACACAGGGGAGACACAAGATCGCCCCCCCCCCCAAAAAAAAAAAACTCAAAGAACTCTTTTCTACCTAACTTTTTTTTTAATTAAATTCTTTTTTTTCATCATTATTAATTTAGGTGTGTGTGTGTGTGTGTGTGTGTGTGTGTGTGTGTGTGTTTAAACTCTTTTTACTTTTTTCCCTTTTGCTCTCTTTTGGATTATTTTTGCATGATTCAATTGATGTTCTGCTCATCCCTAGATATATACCCAACTTAGATTATTAGACCTTATCCTTCATTGTATGCACATCTAATTCAGAGATTATTCAATTCACAAACTCTCAGCCTTAACTCCTTTAAATAGAAGTATTCTTTATACTTATATAATTTTTAAGTGTTTCATTTTTTAATTTTTTTAATTTTTTATTTATTCATTTTTCCTTTTTTCTTTATCTCTGTCCTCCTTTCCTTCTATCCTTCTACTCTCTCAGTATTATTTCTTTATACTTATATAATTTTTAAGTGTTTCTTTTTTTATTTTTCATTTTTCCATGTTTCTTTATCTCTCTCCTCCTTTCCTTCTGTTTCCTCTCTCTGAATTTAGGTCTTGGTTAAATTCCCTCTCTCCTTTTCCCTCCTCACATTCCTCTAATCTTACTTTCTCCCCACAATTCTCCCTAAACCTATTAATTTCTGTTCTGCTGACTCCTTGTGTGACTTGTTAGTGCATTAATCCATAGTTGTTTGCTGTTGAACTAGATTCTATCTGTTGAAATAGTTTGTATCTGTACTCATTTTTACTGCATCAAACAATCTGTGCAACAACAGGGTTCTGGTTGATGCATGCTTTAAAATAGTGTTCTAGGGAGAAACTGGTTTTGCTTTCATACCAAATGGGCAGAACAAGCCAGAGAAACACAAGAAAAATGGCAAGTCTAGATATCTCAACTCTCACTCAGGATAATCAGGTGACAAAGCAATTAATGAATAATCCAGAGGAGAGTTCCCAAAATGCTCCACAAACACTACTGTAAATGAAAAGATTGAAAGCCTGAAAAGGATTCTGTGTGAGCGTGATAGGGAAAAGCATGAGCGGCATGGGAAAAGCATGAGTCTGATGAGGCTCACCAAAGATTAATACAGGAATCTCGTGAGCATGATGAGGCTAACCAAAGATTAATACAGGAATATCACAGGCATGATGAGGCTAACCAAAGATTAATACAGGAAATGCATGAGCGGGATGAGAATTGACAAAGATCAATGAAGGCATTCATGGAATCCACAGACAGCTGAAGGAATCCAGGGAGCACAAAAGGAATGCTGAATGGAACCCATAAGAAGGAAAGGAAGTACAATAAAACCATAACCAATCAACTAAGGGATTTGAGAATGAACACTGAAAACCAAATTAAGGAAGTAAAGAAGTCCATACAAGATCTAAAACTAAATTCCAACAAAGAATTTGAAGCCATAAAAGCCAACCAATTAGAAGGAAAGGAAATACAAAAACAAAGTAGAAAGCCTTGACAGTAGGATAGACCATGAAGAAGATCAAATCTCTGAGATTGAAGACAGCCTAGATATTATAGAAGAAGAACAGACAACTAACTATCCAAGACAAATCCAAGAAATATGATAGATCTACTCAACATTTAGAAGACACCCTCAGAAGGCCTAATCTGAAGCTAATGAGTGGAGAGGAGGGCCTTGAGACAGAAGTTAAAGGTCTAAAAAATTTATTTATCAGGATCCTAGCAGAGCACTTCCCAAACATGCAAAAGATCCATAAATAGACCATACCAGAACAGGACACTCCTCCCCCCCACCCCTCTTTGCCTCCCATCACATTATAATCCGCACAGGAACAATTCAGACCAAGGAAAGGATCCTTAAAGCTGTCAAGATCAATCACCTATACAGGGAAACCAATCAGAATAACTTCAGATTTCTCAGCAGAGACAATAAGTAAGAAGAGCCTGGAATGATGTATGCCACGCTCTAAAGACAAACAACTAACAACCAAGAGTATTCTACCCAGCTAAACTCTCCTTCATAATGGAAAGTCAAATAAAAACCTTCCATAGCAAAGTAAAACTGAAACAATATAGCTCCACTAAACCAGTCCTACAAAAGACACTTAAAGATGTCCTACACATAGAAAACCATCACAATAAAGACCAAGAAACCACCCTCAAACAGAGAATCCAAGAATCATAGTAAGAACACAGTTGTTGCAGCCTCCAAGAAGGTGGATAACATGGCAGGAATTACCAAACACCTCTCAGCCCTAACTCGCAACATTAATGGACTTAATTCTCCAATTTAGTGACATAAATTGCCTAGTTGGATTAACAAGTAAGATCCTTCTATCTGCTGCCTTGAAGAGACACACTTTGCCCACAAAAACAAAAATATTCTGAAAGTAAAAGGCTGGAATAAAATCTTCCAAGCAAATAGCCCCCATAAACGGGTGGGAGCTGCAATCCTAATATCAGATAAAATAGACTTCAAATTAAAATTAGTGAGAAGAGATAAAGAAGGTCATTACATACTAATTAAGGGATCTCCTCTTCAGGAGGATATTAAAGTTCTAAATATCTATTCACCAAACAACAGAGCACCCTAATTTATTCAAGAAATGCTACTTTCCCTAAAATTTAACATATGTTAAATGTTAGACTTTAACACACCACTATCCCTTCTGGATAGATCAATCTGGCAAAAACTCAACAGAGAAACCTCAGATGTAACAACTGCATAGATCAACTAGACTTAACAGACATCTACCATATATTTCACCCAACATCATCAGAATACACGTTCTTCTCAGCAGCACATGGAACATTCTCCAAAATAGACCACATTTTAGGTCACAAGCAAATTTGTCCAAATTCAAAAACACTGAAATTATGCCCTACATTCTCTCAGACCACAAGGGAATAAAATTAGAACTCAACACCAAAAGCCACCAAAGAAAGTCCTGTAACACTTGCAGGCTGATCAACAAACTGTTGAACCACCAGTGGGTCATGGAAGAGATTAAAAAAGAAATTCAAATGTTCATGATATTCAACAAAAATGAACACACAAATTACCAGCTCTTCTGGGACACAGCAAAGGCAGTACTCAGAGGCAAGTGTATAGCTCTGAGTTCCTATATCAACAAATTGAAGCGATCTGAAACCAACAATTTAATAAGACACCTGAAGCTCCTTGAAAAACAGCAGCAAGCTAAACCCCAATCAAGTACATGAAAACAAATAATTAAAATTAAATCAGAATTAATGAATTAGAATAAAAAAACATAGAATCAACAAAACAGTTAGCTCTTCGAAAAAATTAACAAAATTGACACACTCTTACCAAATCTTTTCAGAAAAAAGAGAACACACCCAAATAAACTCAGAGATGAGAATGGAAACATCACCACAGAAACAACCAAGATTCAGAATATTATAAGGGAATACTTCTCAAACCTTTATGCTAATAAATTTAAGAATCTGGAAGAAATGGACGATTTTCTAGCAAATATCAACATGCTGAAACTAAACCAAGATGAGTTAAACCAACTTAACAGACCATATCAAGCATTGAAATAGAAACAGCAATAAGAGACCTCCAACACAAGGAAAGCTCAGGACCAGATCATTTACAACTGAATTCTACAAGGCCTTCAAAGCAGAACTCACACCAGTACTCTTCCAACTCTTCAATTAAATTGACAGTGAAAGTTCACTACCAAACTCTTTCTATGAAGCCATTGTAACCCTCATCCCAAAACCAGGCAGGGACTCATCAAAAAGAACTATAGATCCATTTCTTTGATGAACATCAATGCAAAACTTCTCAAGATTTTGGCCAATTGACTTCAACAACTCATGAAAAAAAATCATACTCCATGATCAAACAGGATTCACGTCAGGGATGTAAAGCTGGTTCAATACACACAAATCCATTAATACAATTCATCACATCAACAGGAGCAAGGATAAGAACCGCATAGTTATCTCAATAGATGTAGAAAAAAGCATTTGACAGGATCCAACACCCCTTTATGAGGAAGCCTCTGGAAAAACTAGGAATCCATGGAACATTCCTCAGTATAATAAAGGCTGTATATGACAAACCTACAGCCAGCATTATACTTAATGGTGAAAAACTAAAGCCATTTCCTCTTAACTCAGGAATGAGATAAGGATGTCTACTCTCTCCACTCCTCCTTAATTTAGTATTAGAATGCCTAGCTACAGCAATAAAACAAGATGCTAACATACAGGGGGTCCAAATAGGGAAAGATGAAGCAAAACTCTCCCTCTTTGCAGATGACATGACCTTGTATTTAAAAAAATCCCACCTTGTATTTAAACCTTGTATTTAAAAAGACTCCACTCCCAAATTACTCGAGCTGATTTAAAACTTTGTCAAAGTAGCAGGGTATAAAATTAACCCTCAAAAACCAATGGCTTTTCTGTATGCCAACAATGAGAAGAGCACAGCTGAAATCAGGAAAGCAACTCCCTTTGTAATAGCCCCACAAAAAATAAAATACATGGGAATTAAATTAACTAAAGAAGTGAAGGGCCTCTATGATGAAAACTTTAAAAACCTGAAAAAGGAAATCAAAGCAGAACTTAGGAAGTGGAAAAACCTCCCATGCTCCTGGATTGGAAGGCTCAACATTATGAAAATGGCAATACTTCCCAAGGCTATGTACAAATTCAATGTGATACTATCAATATTCCAATCTCATTCTTCAAGGAAATAGAAGCAGCAATCCAAAACTCATATGGAACAATAGTAAAAGCAATCCTTAACAGAAAGAACAGTGCTAGAGGAATATCAATACCAAATTTCAAACTCTACTACAAAGCCATAGTAATTAAAACAGCTTGGTACTGACACAAGAAGAGACCTAGGACCAATGGAATAGAATTGAAAACGAAGAAATGAACCCAAAGACCTAATTGCCTCCCAATCTTTGACAAGGGAGCTAAAAAAAAAAATAGAATGGAAGAAAGACAGCCTCTTCAGTAAATGGTTCTGGCAAAATTGGTAATCATCTGTAGAAAACTAAAGCTAGATGCTTATATATCACAGCTTAGCATGCTCCCCTGTTAGGCAACCCTAAGCCCATGTAGTAAAGGCAGTAAATAATCAGCCTCCAGTCCTCTTTACCTTTAGATGGCATTACCACCAATATAAGGCAACAAGAGACCCTTAGAGTCACCTTCAGGTCTGGGCAGTTGCAGGACCCTTATCTACTATTTGGACTGCAGCCATAAATCCTAGTCCGCCATGATGAAGCCTCTGGCCCACACATCTACACCAGGGTCTCCACCTCCTAGCCCCTTCTAGCTCCTCCTAAGCCTCCTAGGCTATATAGGTCACCTCAGACAATAGCCGGGGCTTCTTCTCATTTCTCCCTTGTCAGAAGGGGTCTTGCCGGCCCCTTTCCCAGCAATAAACCTTTCTTTGTTCTCTGTACCTGGATGTCTGCATGGTTTCTGGCAAAGTCTAATTAATCTTTTTTAAAGTTTTCAGTACTCATTACCTTACTCATGTAACTGTAACCCCTCTATACAGTATTTTTACAATAAAAAACATATAAAACATTTAAAAAAATTAAAAGGCTGAAATAAGGACACAGATATCAGTCACCACAGACAACTCACCTGCATTGTTTTTATTGTACTTATGTATATAATTCAAATCATCCAAAGCCTCACTGATTCTGTCTTGGAAAAGAAAAATGAAATGTCGGTGCCAGTAGGCATTTAGAAAATTTGGTTCCAAGAAGATAGCCTAGAAAAGATATGCATAAGATCAATTAAAGTTGACTTGCTTAAGGAAAATAAGACTTTCAAATAAATGTTTCAAAAAACATTGACACCAATGGCTTATTATGTTGACAATTTTTTAAAAGTCCTCCCAATTCTACTAATAAAAAATCTTGGATTATTTTACTGCTGGTTATTTTACTTTACAATTTTTTTGAGGGGGGGCCCGGTCATGGGACCTGAACTCTGGGCCTGGACACTGTCCCTCAGCTCCTCAGATAGCGCTCTACCACTTGAGCCACAGCGCTACTTCCGGCTTTTTTTCTTTTTGCTTATGTGGTGCTGAGGAATGGAACCTAGGGCCTCATGCGTGCAAGGCAAGCACTCTACCACTGAGCCACCTTCTCAGCCCCAACTTTACAATTTTTATTATTAGCATACATCAGTTGTAAGGGGGAGAGGTTCATTGTTCATCCCTAGCATTGATTTACTTTACCTGCTCCTCCCTTTTAAAGTAATTCAGCAGGTTTCATCGTTCTGTTTTTATAAGTGCAAATACATTACTTTGACCTTATTCATCCCTTTCATTCTCTGTATTCACCCTCTTCCCACCCTCTGTTGCATTACCCCTACACACCTACACAGAACCTGTTTTACTTTCTTGTTCTTTTTTTCCACAGTGTATATTAATTGTACCAACAGGGTTTCACCAAGGTGAAAAAAATTTTAATAATAATTATTTGAAAAATGCAATAACTATCTTTTACAACTTTATATTCTACAAATGACAACCATTCACTGTTCAACATTCCAGTAAAACATTTATCATTAAAAACCAATGCCAGCTGGGCCTCAGAAGTAGGTCTTGCCTGTAATCCTAGCTGCTCAAGAAGCTGAGATCTGAGGATCACAGTTTGAAGCCAGCCAGGACAGACAAGTCCCGGTGAGACTCTTACCTCCAATTAGCTACCCAAAAACTGGAAGTGGCACTGTGGTAGAACTAGCCTTGGGCACAAAGAGGCTCAGAGACAATGCCTAGGCCCTGAGTTCAAGCCCTACAACTGAAAAAAAAAAATGCAAGCTAGACACTGTCAGTATTATTCCCACCTTTTGTCCTCAGCTCCACCTAGACCTGAGGCTTCTCCCTGCCCTAGAGTTAGCTCCATACAGCTGGTACTTCTCCTCTCCAGACACACACTTACCTCACTTCCTTCCACTCAGACCTGCCCACCCCTGGGATAGGGCAGATCCCATGTGTTCCCTCTCTCCCAGGGAAATATGGCCCCTCTAATAAACCTTACAATAATCTTTCTCCTGTGCCTGCCTGCCTGCCTCTGTGTGTGTTCCCCAGCGTGAAGGATTCCTACAGACACCAGTGGCTCACTCACACCTGTAATCCTAGCTATTCAGGAAGCCAAACCCAGAAAACCACAGTTCAAGGTCAGCCCAAGCAGAAAAGTCCACAATACTCCATCTTCAAGAGCCTGAAAGCATGGCTTAAGTGGTAGAGCACCAATCAAGTAATCAAGCTGAGCAACTGTGAGGCTCTGAGTTCAATCTCTAATACTGCTGAGAAAGAGAGAGAGAGAGAGAGAGAGAGAGAGAGAGAGAGAGAGAGAGAGGAAAAAGAGCAGTGAACTGATACTGTTCTTTTTATTTTGAAAAACTTACTTCTTGCAGGTCATTCATGGCGCTCAGCAACTTGCCCAGTTTCCTATAAATTGCTCCACGCCTACAATAGGCAAAGGCAAGGTGTGTTTTATTCTTCTGTATTTCTTCAGTCAAGGCTGCCACTTCAGCTTTGTAATATTTAATGACTTCTGGTGGAAGATCACATGCCAAAGTATCACGTAGTTCTATTTTTTGTGCATCTGCCACTTTTTCAGGCAGGTCTTTGTGGATATCTGCTCTCCCAGCTGTCGGGCGTGCTTCCGGTCGCTGCGCTTCCCTCAATATAGTACTAAGCCACATCCGAGAATCCTGGAGTTTTCGCAGGCCTCCCTTTGTTGCAGCGTATTCATCGAAATCTAAACTCGGTAAGCTGGGACATCGGATTGGACGTTCATATACTGGAACTCTGAGCAAAAATTTCTTCTGCCCAGGAAGTATTCCATGAGACAATGATCTAGTTGAAAAAGAAAAATCCTTTATTACAAAAGCATAATTATCTTCCTGATCAATGAGGCAATGCATCCACATCCAAAATCACTACTTGTCAATTCTCCAAATAAAACTACACACTGATTTATGTGTGTATTATGACTTATGATTTATGCCTCCAGAACCTATATTTTCTGAAACTAAAATGGTAACACAGTATGAAGAGTCTGTATTAAATGAGTGAACTAGGAGACCAGTGAACTACTACTAAAGAGATGGTCTCCTCCTGTAACTAGTCTCAATGATTTGTCATCATCGCTATCACCATCATCATCATTACTGTGAGAAAATGCATAGATCAATCCTCAGGGCCTCTTTGTCTTTGTTTTCATACCTCAACCAGGACAAATATGTTAATAAAAGGAACCAGCCTTCTTTTCATTTATACTTTTTAAAAATAAATAGAAAAGGGTAACTGAACAAAAACAGAGAGAGAGATGATCTCCTTCAATTGTAACACAGTGAGGACACTATCCCTTTAGGTTTCATTTATTTATAGTCCCCTGCCTTATCTTTCAGAGAAATTATACTGAAGGACTGAGGAGACAAATATGACAGGAGAAAGAAAATGTCATCCCAGAGACTAGAGAGGACATGGACTTGAGAGTAGGAAGAACAAAGTATAGCCAGGTGTCAGTGGCTTACTCCTGTAATCCTGGCTGTTCAAGAGGATGAGCTCCTAGCTCAAAGCCAACCCAGGCCAGAAAGTCCATGAGACTTATCTCCAATAAAACAGGAAGTGGAGCGAAGGCTCCATTGGTAGAGTGCCAGTCTTGAGAGGAAAAGCTAAGCAAGTGAGAATGTGAGACCCTGAGTTCAAACCCCAGTATGGAGTGTAGGGGACTGGGAGAAGGAAAAAGAAAGCCTTTAACATCCATTTTTGAATGGTAGTCTTTGTATGGAGCAAGAATTGGCTTTCCAAACCACTTCCTTTTCTTTCCATTCAATTAAAATGAATGAGTTTTCAATCAATAGTCTGAACCATTCCTTGTTCAATATACTATGAAGTGCTCATACATCTTTACCATGAGGGGTTGGCATTGTAGTTCAATGTATTTTCAGGCTGAATAAAATAATAAACTGGACTAGATGAAATTATAAAATTAAGTCTCAGACCCACAATAAGTTTCTTAAATCATAGAAATACATTACTGGAACAAGACCTTTCAAGCTTTTGTGGAGGCTTGACTAGCTGTTCATACACAAGGGTAAGTTTGGAGGATTTCAGTCTTTTCTTCCATTTCACCTTCTTTTTTCTGGGATACACAATGTAATTAATGCCAGCTTTCTTTGATGCTTCAATGAGAGAGAAAGAAGTTTTTTTATTTTCCTCCAAGTCATCTAAGATGTCACTTATACTTTTTTTCACAGAGACCTCTGATGGCTCTTCCTGAGAAAGACAAGCCTCATACACCTTGGCTTTCTGGAGTCTCAACTCTTTCATATTGCTTTGTGTGTCATCTTTTATGTCCAACAATTGGGTGACCTCCTTCCACAAATCAGGAGAAGATTTTGCTCTCTTTAGTAAGGAAACAAAAGGGTAGGGTTTTTTTTTAAGCATAAAATCTATTTACTCTTGCTTGACATGCAAAGTTAACATAATTACAACTATCATTAATGTACTTTATTGAAATGTATTTTTGGGGTTCTCTTTCAAATGTATCAGTAATATTCATCAGACAAAATAATGAATTTCATTATAAAATTTTTGTATATGTATATAATGTGCTTTGATCATAATTATCACCCATATTCTTACCTCTTACTCCCTCTTTCCCTCCTTTTGCTGTTCCTCTTCCTCTTTCAGAATGGTTTTCTCTTCTACTTTCATGGGGTTTTTTTAAACTCTATTTTCCATGTTACTGGGCCTTGGTAGCTCATGAAGGCAAATCCTAGCTACTCAAGAGGCTGGGACCTAGATAATTGTGTTTCAAAGAAGCCAGCTTGGGCAGAAAAATCTGAGACTCTATCTCCAATTAACCAGCAAAATGCCAGACAGAAATCATGGCTCAAGTATAACACTAGCCATGAACAAATAAGCTGTGTGAGAGTGAGAACCCTGAATTCAAGCTCTAGTACCAGCAAAAATAAGAGTCAAAAATAGATTTCACATAAGAGAAAACATGTAGTCTTTATTTTTCTCAGTCTGGCTTATTTAGCTTAACATCGTGAGGCCCTCAAGTTCAAACCGTGGTACCAGCAAAAAATAAGTGAATAAATAAAAATGAAAATAATAAACAATTAACTAACAATGAACAAGTAACATATGGTATTTGTCTTTCTCAACCTGGCTTATTTTGTTTAACATGTTGAACTCCTTTCTACTTATTTCCCCCAAATGACATAATTTCATTTTTCTTCATAGCTGAATAATATTCCATTATGTACACATACCATGTTATGTTTTTCTATGAATCTACTAATGGGAAACAAGAATAATTCCATACCCTGGTAATTGCAAATAGTACTGTGATAAACATAAATGAGCAGGCTTCTTTATTGTGTGCTGGCATCAGTTATATTCAAAAGTTGATAGAGTTACATCATATGGCAGTTCTAGTTTTACTTTTTTTCAAGGATCCTCCATACTGGTTTCCATAGTGACTATATTTCTATTCCCACCCACAGTGTGTGAGATTTCCTTTCTCCTTCACATACATGGCAGCAGTGGCTGTTATTTGTTTTCTTATTGAGTTGTCATTCCATCTGGGGTAAAACAGAATCTCAGTGCATTTCCTTTGTAGTTTTCATGTACTTATTTGGCTGTTTGCTGCTGTTTTTGCTCTATTTTGACACCATTGAAGTTTGAGCTTCACTCTGTAAGCTTGCTAGGTAGGCACATTACCACTTGAGTCACATGCTCTGACTTTTTACTAGGCATTTGTACTTCTTTTGAAAAGTGTACATTCAGTTAATTTGACTAATTAAACTGCGTTATTCTTTTGGTTTAATATTTCCTGATTTTTTCATAGATTGGCTATTAATCCACTGTTGAATGACTGGCTAGATTTTTCTCTTGTGTTTTTATTAACTTACACTAGCTATAGTGGGCCTTCATGGTTAGATTTCCACAAGTGTTTACTATGTATTTCAATTAATCTCACCTCATCTATCACTCCCCTTGCCCTCATTACCTTCTTCCCAAAACAATTTTCATTACTGTCGTTATTCTATTCTAATAGTTGTAGATAATCTATTTTGATCATATTCAACTTCCTTTACCCTCCTTGTTAACTCATCTCCCTCCCATTAGTTCTGAACACCTGACAGTCTATTTCTATATACACCCCTCCATATCTCCCCATTGATTAACAGCATTCATTGAGTTTCTTTATGATGTTTTCATATATATTATAATTTATTACAAAATTATTTACCTTCTTTTGTTCCTTTCTACATTCTCCTCCTCCTAAGTAGTTTCTTGCTTTGATTCATACTCTATGTTTATCCATTTAAACAATTTATGTATATGGATATATATCTATGCATATATGTATATGTTCATAAGTATGTATATGTCTTTCAGGTCTAGCTTTCATATATGAGTGAAAACATGCAATATTTTGGTTTTTGGTCTTGGTTTGTTTCATTTATGATATTCTCCAACTGCCTCCAGTATCCTGCAAATGACATAATTTCATTTTTCTTTATGGCCATGCAATATTCTAATCTATATATTTTAATACATATATGTATATGTATTCGCACATATTCTTTATCTATTCATCTGTTGTTGGACCTCAGCTGATAACATCATTTGGCTATTGGGAACATCATTGCACCAAACAAAAATATGCAAGTGTCTTTCTGGTGTATTGATTTAAAAATACAGAAAGCTTCATGAATTTCTGTGCCGTCTCTGCACAGAGGCCATGCTAATCTCTGTGTGTGTCCAATTTTAGTATGCATGCTGCCAAAGCAAGCACAAAGCTTTTTAATCTGATGCAATCCCATTTATCAATTCTTGCCATTATTCCTGATCTACTGCATTCCCATTCAGAAAGTCATGACCTATGCCTGTTATCTTCAAGTGTTTTCCAGTGTTTTTCTTAAGTAGTTTCAAAGTTTCAGCTCTTACATTATGATCTTTAATCCAGTTTGAATTAATGTTTGTGAGAGATAGGGATCTAGTTTTGGTCTTCTGCACGCAGATATCCAGTTTTCTAAGCACTCTTTGTTGAAGAAGCTGTCTTTTCTTCAACATATATTGAGGATTTCTCATCCTACCATTTTTTTTGAGACTGTTTATCAGCTCACAGAGTTTTCTGGAGTTTTAGAGTCTTGTAAGTATGAGATTATATTGTTGGCAAGTAGGGATAATTGGATGTCTTTCCTTCTTGTTTGTGTCTCTTTTATTACTTTCCCTTGCCTTACTGCTCTAAGAACTCAAGCCCTGTACTGAATAAGAATGGAGGGCACAGCCTTGCTTTGTTCCTGATTTCAAAGGAAATGATTCCTGCTTTTCCATTCAGGATAATGCTGACTCTCAGTTTGTTGTGTAGAGTCTTCATTGTGTTATAGCACATTCCTTCTATTCCTAGGGTCTTCGGGGTTATTACTATAAAGGGATGTTGGATGCTGTCAAAGGCTTTTTCTATATCTAATGAGATGATCACATACCTTTTTGTGTCTTCATTTCTACTTATGCTCTGGATTATGCTTATTGGTTTGCATATGGTGAACCACCCATGTATCTCTGGAATGAAACCAACTTGATTATATGATAGTTCAATGTGTTGTTTAATTCTTGGTTTGCAAATGTTTTACTGAGGAGTTTTGAAAAGTGGCCTATCAGTTTGTAAGTGCCCCTTATCTACTCACTATCAAGGTAATGTTGAAATCATTAGATGAATTTGGTAGTATTCCTACTCTTTCTATTTCATGGAATAGTTTGAGGAATACTGATGTTCTTAAAGAGTCTAGTAAGATTCCTAAGATTAGTCAAAAGTCAAATCAAATTAACAGTGGGTTAGTTGAAGCAAAACATAATAAATTAATTTGTTTTCATTAGTACATATAGACACATACTAATTACGTTTTTATAGATTTTAACTGAATGCAGATTTTTCTATATATCTAGTTCTCTCATTTTACTTTTAATACCAAAAATGATAGAATGGGTAAGAAACAATTTGAGTTTATTTTCAAAACTGTTCTAACAACACTGAATTTCTATACCGTACTATTAAAACACGCTCTCTAATGGCTTCAACTCAATATTTATGAACTTACAAAACAAAATTCCATTCTATCATTTATTGGATCTAGTTTATTAGAGAATCAACATAACAATTTGTTTAGCATTAAAATTATTATAAATAATCTGTAATAATCATATGTGATTAAACATAATATTCACTACTAATAATTTTTAATCCTTTGATATAGTTTCCTAATAGAGCTACTATCAATGAATGAATTGCATTTTCTTTTGCTAATAATTTGTTATAAAGATGCTTTTCTTTATAATCAATTTAGACCCAGATTCTGAAAAATAACAATTTCATGCAAGCTAGTTATCCATTTAAGATAACTAAATTACAGCAAAGACATGAACTCTCCGTGATTTATTATCCTCCCCCCCTCAAGAACCTGTATTTGTAATGTATTATATTTCTAATATATTACAATGTGATTATAATATAGAATGCATATGTTTGCTTTTGAGAAAAGTACAAAGTGATTATTTCTGCTAAAATTACATACAATGATTTTTAGTAGTAAAAACCACAGTTACCATACCTTCCAATATATCCATTTTGATCTGAGAGGTTTTTGTATATTTTCATAGGATGAAGCTTTTCTTAATATGAAAGACTGTGAAATAATCAAATAAAAGTATTAACTGTAGACACTACAAAATAAGCTAAATTGTTATATAACAGCAAATGGTCATGAATCTTAATTAATGGTCATTAATTTTAATTAACTTAAGTAATTAGAATATAAGTTGTTATTGATTTTGAAATTATTGACTTCAAATAGAAGAACAAAATTTAGCAAGACAGATAATAAAGAAAATCTCAATTTTTTTTTTTTTTTGGTCCAGTCGTGGGGCTTGAACTCTGGGCCTGGGCGCTGTCCCTCAGCTCTTCAGCTCAGGGCTAGCACTCTACCACTTGAGCCACAGCACCACTTCCGGCTTTCTTCTTTTTGCTTATATGGTGCTGAGGAATCGAACCCAGGGTCTCAGGCATGCAAGGCAAGCGCCCTACCACTGAGCCACCTTCCCAGCCCAAAATCTCAATTTTTAAAATTCAACTTGAGATAACAAACATTGAGACCCTAGTATGTGCAAGATTTATAGTGTAAATTTTGAGAGCCTGGTAAGGTGGTTCACAACTGCAATCCTAGCTACTCCAGGAGGCCAAGATCTGAGAATCATGATTTGAAGCCAAATTGGGCAGACAAATATTATCTCCAATTAACTAGCAATTTGCTGCCAATGGAGCTTAGTTTAAGTGGTAAAATGCCAGCCTTGGTGATTAATTGGAGATGAGTGTCATGCTATGACCACAATCTACAAAGTGACAATGACTTTCCAGCCTAGAGAGAGTATGATTACAGCTACTGCTCTAGTTGCTATAAATAAAACAGTAAATATGAGTAATATGACCAAAATCAATAAAGAATGAAAAGATCAAACATACCTAAGGGCAAATATCTAATAAATAAAAAAGAAAGAAGGCGGCCGGGCACTAGTGGCTTATGCTTCTAATCCTAGCCACTCAGGAGGGCTGAGATCTGAGGATCACAGTTTAAACCCAGCCTAGGCAGAAAAGTCAAAGAGACTTTTATCTCTAGTTAATCACCAAAAAGCCATAAGTTGAGCTGTGGCTCAAGTGGTAGCAAGTCAACCTTGAGCAAAAAGAACTAAAGGACAGCACCCAAGCCCTAGTACCAGAACAAGGAAGACAGAAGAAAAGGAAGGAAGGAAGGAAGGGAGGGAGGGAGGGAGGGAGGGAGGGAGAGAGGGAAAAAAGAGGAAGGGAAGGGAAGGGAAGGAGAAGGGAAAGGAGAGGAAGGGGGAGGGAGGGAAGGAAGGGAAGGAAAAGGAGAGAGGGTGAAAGCGGGGTAAGGATGGGTTTTCTGACTGCATAGATCTGGGTGAAGGGTTAGTGGCAAATAGGAAACTTAATCTACTTAGCACACTAAAAAATGGAACTTTTGTCTACAGGACACTAAGTCTCTCTAGTATACCATGCTCGAAGGGGAAGTAGCAGACTGAAAGCACCATTGAAAGAAAATGGTTTCTTATTTGTCTCCAATGAATGTCAGGGCACAAATAAGCTAATCATAAGAATTTCATGCTTATCTTCTTCCCTCAGTCACTGTCTGTCTCCTTTCTCTCCAGTCCTACTCAATTACTTCATAAGCGCATGACAGTGAAATCTTAAGTCTACATCCAATCATTCCAATTCATAGCCACAAACTACTTTTCTATTTGGCCAAACATCTCACACATACATTTCTTTCATCATCTAAATCATCGGCAAGAATGACTGGATATGCTGCAGATATTCTGTTAGTATTAGTGCATAAAATCTTCTGAGGGTTGGGCTGGGAAGTTGGCTCAGTGGTAGAGTGCTTGCCTTGCATGCATGAGCCCTGGGTTTGATTCTTCAGCACCACATATGCAAAAAGAAAAAAGCCGGAAGTGGTGCTGTGGCTTAAGTGGTAGAGTGCTGGCCTTGAGCTGAAGAGCTAAGGGACAGCACCCAGGCCCAGAGTTCAGACCCCACGACTGGACCCAAAAAAAAAATCTTCTGAGGGTCATAAAGACAGCAGATTTGAGGAAGGAAAAGAAATGTCATCAACAATGATGCCATTGCCTGTTATTAAAAATAACTTCTGAACTGTAGGTAGATATAATAACCAACTCACAGTTCTGAACAAAGCATACATACCTTAATACTTTCCTTGCGACCAATTTCTAATATTGTGATACTTTCCTTGCTTTCAGATACTAAATCCTCAGTTAAAAGTTTACATGTTCGAACACTCTGTGATAAAAAGATAAACATTTTACATTATATTGTGGAAGTTTAAAGCGCTTATGATCCTGGTTATTTCATCATCCAACATTCTTACCAAACTCCCTAAAAAATTACATCAAAGGACAAATTTTTAGAAAATACTTTCCAAACATGCATTAAATCTAGCTACAGGCTTAGTGTTTAGCTGAAATTCACAATATGGTTTCTGCTTCAGCACATACAACCATGCATAATTTAGATATCTAGTTAACTATAAGGCAATTATTGTTAAATTCCAAAAACATATTCTGAAGAATATGTTTTATGTTAAGAGCTAAGAATAAAATTCAAACAAAATAATTCCATCAAGTTAAAATTTAAAAATATATAAATGCCATATAGAAAATGAATACATCTGGGCATTGGTGGCTCATATCTGGAATCCTAGCTACTCAGGAGGCTGAGATCTGAGGATCACAATTCAAAGTCAGCCAGAGCAGGAAAGTTCATGAGACTCTTACCTCCTATTAAGTACCAAAAAGAAAGTAGTGGACTTGTAGCTCATGTGGTAGAATATCAGCTTTGAGCAAATAACTAAGGGACAGCCCCAGGCCTTGTGTTTAAGCCCCAGAATTCACAGCAAGAAAAAGAAAAGAAGTCACTTTTGACAATAAATGGACGACACTAAATAAGATTTAGTGAATTAAATGCAATATCCTTAACAAACAAAAAAATATAGATGGGGAAAAATTTTAGAAAACACTTTCCAAAAATGCATTATGTCCAACTATAGGCTTAGCATTTCACAAAAAATTACAATATGGTTTCAGCTTGAGCACATACAAATAACTATGCACAATATCATTAAGTTAATACATATTGGTATATCTAGTTAACCATAAGGCAAATATGACTAAATTCTAAAATATAGGTATTCTAAAGAATATATTTACATTAAGAACTAAGAAAAAATTTAAACAAATTTGTAAATTATTTTATATTACTCTTTAAAAGGATGAAAGGATTTTTTTAATGAATTAAGTTTTCAACACACAAAATTAGAAAAATGCCCAAATTCAGCATCAACATTGTGTGGTAAGCAGGAAGCCAATAACAACAACATTTCAAAAGAGAAGTATACCAAATGTCAGAGGAACAAAAATGTAAGCAATAGTTCATCTAAAAGTTTTTTAATCAAAGAAATGATTTTAACTCATTTGTTTTTCTGGCTGACTGGCCATGATATGTAACAGTGCATGGTATATCATAAACTATGCTAAAAATGTGAAGTTATGGTCCTCTGTTGATAATATAAGTGGTTTGAGAGAGGATAATAGTTTTATAAATTAAAACTAACAAGAAAATAATTCAACTTTTTCTAAATTCTAGTCTAGATAAGGAAAATATCAGAGTTCATTAGAGCTGGGAGCCAGTTGCTCAAGCCTGTAATCCTAGCTACTCAAGAGGCTGAGATTTAAGGATCACCAGTCAAAGTCAGCCTAGGTAGGAAAGTCCATGAGACACTTATCTCTAATTAACCACCAGAAAACCCAAAGGGGCACTTGCCTTAAGCTGAAGAGCTGAGGGACAGCTCCCAGGCTCAGAGTTCAAGTCCCACAACCAATAACAACAAAAAAGATCATTGGATATGGGAAGAAAAATAATGTGACATTAGAAACAAAGATAAAATTAACAAGAGAATACTGTATCCGTAACTATGGACATACTTAAAGCCTCAATAAGTGGTAATTTAGCAGTTGACTCATAGTCAATATGAATAATTCAAAAATTTGACAAGAAAGAAATCTAAGTTACCAATTACCTTCCTAAATGAGAAATCCAAACAATGACTCCTTCCAAAGTTCAAAAATTGTCTCTAGGCTATATCAATGCCAGACTACATAAAAAGATGAAAAGAAGAAGCCTGTCAGTAAAGTCAACAAAGGAAAAGATCCAGGTAGGGACCCAGTTTCATAGGACTACAGTCATCTTGGTGGTAACTGTCATATTTCCTGCCAGGTAACCCTGGCATACGTCCCAAGTGCTACAGGACAAACACAGTTGCTGAGAGACTCAGCAGAGCATGTTGTGCTGGCCACCAAATGCTGGACTGTGTCTTATCTGATATTTAAACATGTTAATAGTTTTGGAAAATGCTACGTGCATCCCATTTGGCTATGGTGTACCTTTATCTAGCCAGCTCTGTGTGTGTGTGTGTGTGTGTGTGTGTGTCTGTGTGTGTCTGTGTGTGTCTGTGTGTCTGTGGCCCTTCTTTCTGCCTTGGGGTATAGCTACCTGTACCTGTCTTCTTGCTGTGGTCCAAGACACATTGCTTCTTTCAATTGTCAATTAACTATGCCTTGTGTAATCCTGAATCAATCTATCTCTTCAGTTTCCTGACTCCTTCTCCCTCTGTCATTTGATAATCATACATTGGGAACAGGTTTCTCCAAAATAATATGGTACACTCATATTTCATTTATTAAGTACACATTAAAAACAAAAATAAAATATGGTCTAAGTGAATTCAGCATAACTTCAAGAACAACATACCATGCCCAAATAATTCATGAAATAAAAAGCATTTCAGTATTAAAATTCTAAACACATAATATCAATAAGTCAAATATGAGCACAAGTCCAGCCCTTTGCTGGCTGCAGTGAAATTCAGAAGTAAATTCTTCACCTCATTTTGAGTCTACAAGGACCGACTTTCTGGTTTGTTATGCTATTACCTAAGTTATGTTTTACCCCAGATTGTTTTCACTTTTCTAATACATGTATATTGGTATGCTGCCTAAAATAATCTGCAAATCAAATAATTCTAAATACCATTAAAAAACTGATGTACATGGATGCTATTGCTCAATTATCTTAAGAGGAAAAACTAAGGAGAGGAAAGAAGAGGGGAAAAAAGAAAAGAAGGGGCAGGTTTGTTTGGTTTGGGTTTGGGAGTGTGTATGTGTATGTGTGTCTGTCTCTGTGTGTCTGTGTGTATCTCTGTGTGTGTATGTGTGTGTGTTTGTGTGTATGTGTGTTTCATGAATGAATAAAATAGACCAAAGAGTGAGTAGTAAATATCTGGTAGAGATGCTTTGGTTTTCTTCTTTTGATTTTTCTAATAATCAGGTATACTATAAAAATAATCAGTATACTATAAAATGAGAATATGCATACATTTTGTGAAGGAAGAAAAAGATGAATAATTATACTTAGTAGATTTAACTTTTTAAGCATTAGATTAACCAAAAAAACTCACTTTCAAGAGCAAGTGTTTTCAGAGGTGGGGTTCTGACCAGGCTGTGGGGGGAGTTGTGACTTTCCTGATGGACTCTGAGAGCAGAAGTCAACAGGAGAATGAACAGCTGATCCCTGAATGTGCAGGCTCACATTTTTTTTCAGTCATGGGACTTGAACTTAAGAGTGCTGTCCCTAAACCTTTATATTCAAGGCTGGCATTCTACCACTTTGAGCCACAGTGCCACTTCCAGTTTTCTGGTAATTAACTAGAGATAAGAGTCCCATGGCTGGCCTTGAACAGCATCCTCAGATCTCAGCCTCCTGAGTAGCTAGGATTACAAGAGTGAGAATATGACACCCAGCCTGGTACAACATCTTACATGAACATCTCATTCATGAGTTACCATCACATAGCTATAAGAGGACTAAGACCTCATGACTCTTGAAAATGTGAAGGAAGTTATCATGTTAACTAGATTTTCAAGGTCAAGATTTAATTATTAGGCAGATCCTTCAGTAAGCTGACACTAGGTGAATTACTCCTGTGTTTGTATAAGCAAGGCAACCTGGTACCTTGAAGACCACCTTTAAGTTAAAATCCACAAAGAACACTGAGCAGGTGATGGGTTTTCAGCAGGCTTCAGTGAGACTCCCAGCCAAAGGAGCCATGTGAACATGTATCTGTGCATCTCTAGGCTTCTACCAACAGTACGGTTATTTCTTCTTGGCTATTGTGAAATTAAGTTATTTCATGGAGGACTGATGCAAAGGTATGGAGGTTCATATGCAATATGTGTTTGATTTGGTTTCCAAAGAAAAATTGTAAGAACATAATTTCAAGGCATGTACTGATTACTGTTGTTAACTGAATTAGTACAGATTACTGGTGACTTAATAATATCTAACAACATGGTGTTCAATTGTAGTCAACTATTATAATGGTAAATAAGCTGGGCACCATTTATTTACCTGTGGAATACTAGCTGATTTGGAGGCTGAGGTGAGAAAATCAGAGTTTGAGGCCAGCCAGGCCAAAAGAAAGAAAATCACAAAACCTCTTCTCTATCAATAGCTAGACATGGTGGCACATGGTTGTTGGAAGCAAACATAGTGGATCTCTGTCCAGGTGTGAACCTGGGCAGGACATGAGACCCTATATCAAAAATAACTAGTGTATAAAAGGGCTGAAAGCACTACAAGATGGCAGAGTACCTGTCTGGCAAGCACAAATTCAAATCCCAGCAACCACAAAAGAAGAAAAGAAAAGAAAAAGTAAGTGAAACTCTTATGAAGATCCTGGACACTGCCTAACTAACCTTAGCTCTTAAATCCTCACTCAAATATTCTTTCAAAATGAAAACAGGTAAGCCAGTACTAGTGGTTCACACCTCTAGTCCTAGCCACTCAGGAGGCTAAGATCTCAGAATCAAGATTCAAAGGCAACCTAGGTGTATGAATCCTCTACACTCTTATGTCCAATGAACCAATAAACAGCCAGAAGTGGAGGTCTCGCCCAGGTGGCAAAGTACCAGCAAGGAGCAAAAAAATCCAAGCAAGAATGTGAATCCCGGGGCTGGGAAGGTGGCTCAGTGGTAGAGCACTTGTCTTGCATGCCTGAGGCCCTGGGTTTGATTCCTCAGCACCACATAAACAAAAAAGAAAAAAGCTGGAAGTGGCGCTGTGGCTCAAGTGGTAGAGCGCTAGCCTTGAGCTGAAGAGCTGAGGGACAGTGCCCAGGCCCAGAGTTCAGACCCCACGACCGGACCCCCACCCCAAAAAAAAAGAATGTGAATCCCTGAGTTCAAGCCTCATTACTGGCACACATACAAGCAAACAAACAATATTTTTCTTGTCTAGGCAAAGTAAATATGACATTTTAAAGAAAAGATTATAATGTTATACCCATATCTTAAACAAATATATAAAATTATAATTTCATGAATGTAGAAGTGTGTCTTTGTATACAAACATATGATGATGCATCTATGTAAGAATTAGACATATACATAATTTAGTGTCATTCAATCATGATTATGACAATGCGGTCTGGCAAATTATATAACAATTGCCCCATGAAATTTGTCATGGAAATTATACAAGTTAATTGATTCAGTAACAGCAACAATTATAATACAGAAAACAATTTAAATATATTACCTCATATTTTGGATATAAAATATCCCTTATAACTGATTCTGGAACACCAAATTTGGGTGCTGCTGGACTCCAAAATAACTTTGTACATACTGGATAAGCAGATACCTTTGAAAATAAAATAAAATCATTAGAAATAGTCCAGACACAGTAACTCATGTCTATAACCAAGCTACTTGGGAGACATAGATCAGGAGTTCATAGTTTGAGGCAAGCTTGGAGGAAAAAGCTAGCAAAACTTCATCTCAACCAACAAACTAGGGCTGGTTATACACACCTGTGGTTCTGGCTGTACAGGAAGCAAAAGTAGGAGAATCATAGTACAAGGCCCAGTCCCAGCCAAGAAAGGAAAACAGATAAACCTGCAAGACCCTAATAAAAATCAAAAACAAAGCTAATGGCATACCTCAAGTAATAAGAGTTCCTGCCTAGCCACTATAATAACCTGAGTTCAAAACTACTACCAAAAGCAATTATTAGAAAAAATAATGAATGTCCCCTAAAATAACATAAACTTCTCTCAAAATTATTTTCAGTTGCTGAGGAAAATGGTGGTTTCACAGCTTCTGAAAGTCTAGCAAGAAAAAAAGAATATTTCGTATCATCAAATTAGAAACAAGCTAAAATGGAAAGTACTAAATGATGCTAAGGTTGTGAGGATATGAGAACCACTTGGGCACATTGGTCGTTTGTATTAAATAGAACTATATAAGCCATGTGTTCATGTGTTCATCTTTGCTTCCAGCCTCACATTCAAGGCAAATATTTGTCCCTATGCAGGGGAAGATGTACAGAGACATCTGTACATCATGTGTTTGCACACAAAATAGCAAAAATAAAACCCAACCTATGTCCATTAATGAAGAAAAAGGTAAATAAAAAGCAGGCTATCCATACAATTAAACACTAAAAAATCATTTAAAACATACAATTTAAGATCCATAGATTATCTTAGAAGTAGAGTGTTAAGAATAAAATGTCTCCAAAACTTGCATACAACATTGTTCTTTAACTCAGAAACATAACAAATCAAAGTTGGGCAAATAGGATTGCATGAAACTACAAAGCTTCTGCATGGCAAAGGACATAGCTAGCAAGATCAATAGAAAACCCAAGGATTGAGAGTTCCAAGAAGATGGCGGAGGAGAAGCTGGAATCTGAACAAGCTCTCGCATAGAAAGCAGATTTAGAGTCACAGTGAACAGTCCTAAGCCAGAGAATCACACCAAGTGTGCCACCACAGGACAGAGAGTTAGGCAAGAGAGGGGAAGCCAAGGCAAGGAGACACATCTAAGAGCTTGCCAGCAGCCGCCGCAGCAGAGGCAGCAGTCGAGGCGGCAAGCGCAGGGCACCATATCTGAGCCACAGAGAGTCCGGGACGAAGGAGCCAGATGCAGCGGGCGAGCGGATTCTACTCAACACTAGCAAGAATCGACAAGGAGCAGACATCTTCATCCTGCAGTTCGCAGACCAGAGACGACCCAGGAACCTAGACTCGGCATGAGTAGAAGCCCAATGTCCTCACTCCTTGTCAGGGAGCAGAGGAGGGAAGGCCACCCTTCCCCACCCCCCAGCACCGGTGATCTCCATCTTGGATACCGACAAAGCTTGGAGGAGCTGCTAGCTCCAACTCAGGCCTTGGAATAAAATGAGTCATTTAGCAGGTCACAAGAACTTAACGGCGGCGTGACCGGCCAGACTCAGCTCCATCCAGGGAAAAGTCACCCAGCTCAGGCGCCAGCCCTAGGAGTGGCTCTCCTCACTGGGTAATCAGAGCCAGAGGCTGCCCCTCCCTCTAGCAGACTCCACAATCAATTGAAAAACAGAAACCCTGAGAATGGCTCCAGGCTGGGCTCTGTGAGTTTTTCACAAAATAGCCCCAGGGAAAAGCTACTGTTTGTTGAAAGGCCTCAACTCTACTCTACCCAGAACCTAGCCTCATCACTGCATCCCCCTCTTTTGTGATTCTCAAAGCAGATCACCCTCCCGTTAAACTAACCAGGGAGGGGGGGAATCTCAAAATCTTGGGTAAAGCAGAGCATTTTTCTGCCTGTTCGAACAAACTGACTTAAGAAACCAATCAAGCCACAGGACCTCAAGCAGACCAGAGACTCCAACAAGAGGCTGGTTACAGACACAAGGGAGATACAGGATTTTCCCCACCCCTCCCAAAAAAAAATCAAAGAACTTTTTTTTTCTTCTTCTCCTTTTTCTTTTTTTTCTTTTTCTTTTTTTTTTTTTTTTTTTGGTACCTTACATATAAACAAAATTTTTTTTTCTTTTCTAAAACTTTTATTAATTTTTAATTTTTGCCTTTTTTGAAAAAATTTTGTTTTCCAGTAACTTTTTTTTCCTCTTATAATTTTTATTTTAGGGATACGTGAATGTGCGTTTTTCTTTTCTTATCTTCTTTCTCTTTTTTTTTCTTTTTTAATTATCTTTTTGTTTTTTGTTTAGCTCTACTGAACTTCTGATCATTTTATTCTCCCTTTCTTATCCTTTCCACCTTTTCCTCTCTTTTGTTCTTCTTTATGTGACTTAACTCTTGTCCTGCACATCCTCAGATAAACCCGTAGTTAACTAGTAGACCCTATCCCCCATTGTGTACACACTTAATCCACAAATTTATTACTCAATTCAAAACCTCTGAGACTTAAATTCCTTAATAGCAGTACTAACTCTTTATACCAATATAATATTTTAAGCATTTTTTTTAAGTTTTTCACATCTCCTCTATGTCCCTCCCCTTCTCTCAATATATTCACATTCCTCTCTAAATAGATTGTTTTTGAACTCCATAATATCATTAATTTTTACTTTTCTATTTTTTCTGGTCTCTTTTCATTTCCCTTTCCCTTTCTTCTTTTTCTCTCTCTCTCTACTTGCATCCTACCCAAACTATTTCCTGCACTGAGATTAGGACATAGTTAACTGTCCCTGTGCCTCCCCACACCAATCTATTCCTATTTTTTACCCACATCTCTCCCTAACCCTAATAATTTCTGGTTTTCCAAATTCTTCTCTGCGGTTCGAAGCCCATTAACATATAGTTGTTTGATGTTGAATAGATGTATCTGTTGAACTAGATTGTATCTGTAGACTATTGACTGTACAAATTCAGACTTTGGTTGATGGTTGCCTTCTAGCACAAAACTGGTGCTATTTTCATCTCAAATGGGCAGAGTAAGCTGGAAAAACACAAGAGAAATGGCAAATCCGGGTATCTCAATTCCCAATCTTGATAATCAGAGGTCAGAACAGATAATGAATAATCCAGAGGAGAGTTCCCAAATAGCTCTACAAACACTGCTGGCAAACGTGATAAATGAAAAGTTTGAAAACATACAAAGGACTCTGTATGAGCGTGATAGGGAGAGAGAGGAGGCAATCCAAAAGTTTATACAGGAATATCATAAGCGTGAGGAAGCTACTCAAAAACTGATACAGGATTTCCGTGAGCAGCTTGAGAATACTCAAAGAGAAAGGCAGGAATGGCATGAGCAGGCTGAGAACACTCAAAGAGAACTGCAGGAATCCCACAAACAGGAGGAAGCTAGTCAAAGAGTAATACAGGAATTGAGAGAGCAGGAAGAGAATACACAAAGATCACTAAAGGCATTCATGGAATCCATTAACAAAGAGCTGAAGGAAGTCAGGGAGACCACAAAGGGAATGCTGAATGGAACCCAACAGAAGGAATGGGAGTCCAAAGAAACCATAACCAATCAACTAAGTGATTTAAGAATAAACACTGAACACCAAATTAAGGAAGTAAAGAAATTCATACAAGACCTAAAACAGAGCTTCAACAAAGAATTTGAAGCCATCAAAGCTGACCAATTAGAAGGAAAAGAGATAAAAAAACAAAGTAGAGAGTCTTGACAGCAGGTTAGACCATGCAGAAGATCGAATCTCAGGGATTGAAGACAGCCTAGATATTATAGAGAAAGAACATACAACCATCCAAGACAAGTCCAAGAAATATGATAGATCTATCCAACACTTGGAAGACACCATCAGAAGGCCGAATCTAAGGATAATGGGGTATAGAGGAGCACCTAGAAACAGAAGTTAATGGTCTAGGAAATTTGTTTAACAGGATCCTAGCAGAGAACTTCCCAAACATACAAAAAGATAGGCCTATTCAGATACAAGAAGCTTTTAGAACCCCAAATAGACCAGACCAGAATAGGACATCCCACCGTCACATTATAATCCACACAGGATCAACTCAGACCAAGGAAAAGATCCTTAAAGCTGTCAAGGAGAAAAGGTTAATCACCTATAAAGGGAAACCAATTAGAATCACCTCAGATTTCTCAGCAGAGACAATCAAAGCAAGAAGAGCCTGGAATGATGTATGCCATGCCCTAAAAACAACTACCAACCAAGAATACTGTACCCAGCTAAACTCTCCTTCATAACTGAAGGCCAAATAAAAACCTTCCATAGCAAAGAAAAATTGAAACAATACAGCTCCACCAAACCAGCCCTACAAAAGATTCTTAAAGATGTCCTACACATAGAAAATCAACAAGATCACAATAAAGACCAAGAAACTGCACCCAAACTGAGAATCCAAGAACCATAGGAAGAACCCAGTTTTCACAGCCCCCAAGAAGGTGGATAACATGGCAGGAACTCCCAAATACCTCTCAGTCCTATCTCTTAACGTTAACGGACTGAACTCTCCAATTAAGCGACATAGACTGTCTAGTTGGATTAAAAAACAAACCCTTCTATCTGCTGCCTGCAGGAGTCACATCTTGCCCGTAAAAACAAACACATTTTCAATGTTAAAGGCTAGAACAAAATCTACCAAGCAAACAGCCCTCATAAACAGGCGGGAGTTGCAATCCTAATATCAGATAAAATAGACTTCAAATTAAAATTTGTGAGAAGAGATAAAGAAGGTCTCTACAAACGAATTAAGGGATCTCTCCTTCAGGAGGATATTACAATTCTAAATATCTATTCGCCAAACAATGGAGCACCCAAATTTATCAAAGAAACACTACTTTCCCTCAAATCCCATATAGATCCAAAGACATTAATTGTTGGGGATTTTAACACACCACTCACCCCACTAGATAGATCAACTCGGCAAA